GCTTATTTACTAAAAGGAAAATTATGTACATTCGATTTATCGATGTTTTAATGTTTCTCATGCTTGCGTGAAAGGAAACTTTCAGAATAAAGCTAAATTGTCAGCAAATCGAGCATTATTTCTTTTATTATCAGTAATCAATACGTAGTTGTTGAATATACATTTCCATCTCTATGTATTTATAAGCGTACAGTCACGTGAACTCGAATCTGCAACTTACGCCAAACCATAGTAATGTTTTTAGTTTATGAAAGTAAAAACTCAATTGTTTTTATTTTTTCTTCTAATACTTAATGAGTCCGTTAAACTACTTTTTCACATTTTATTAGAAATGTGTTTAACTAATTTTAAACCACCAGACGTCTAAAGCGTGCATTCTTTTATTTTATTTTTTCAATTTAACCACGAAAAAGATACATTTTTTTATGTTCTGCAAACAATTAAATAAATTACGCATTTTCGTTATTATTTTTAATTATCTTTAGAATAAAATATCATAAACGAAATGGGAAATAAAATACCTGAGTTGAAAATTGTTGTTCTGCAATCTTATATAATTTGTGTAGAATTTAAAACGTAATTTTAAAATTTTTCATATGGATAAAATTAATTCAGAGTGCCAAAAATGTTTCCGTCCTGCAACCTTAGCTTCTTTGCGAAAATTTTAATCTTGACACTGCTGTGGGGTTAGAGAGTTATGCTATTATTTATTCCAAGCATTGTTCAATGAAGTTTGTTTATTTTTTTGACAAAATGCATTTTGTGGGGGAAGGGAGGATTAGAGAGAACATCAGTGGAGTGCAGAAATCTGTGGATGCCGGGAGCTCTTGAAATAGTTAGTCAAAAGGGGCAAAAATACATTTTATTAAAAAAAAAAAAAAAAAAAATCATGGAGCGATATGTTTAATAATTTAAATCCATATTTTAAATACATTTTTATGTAAATATGTGTGGAATTTCTTCTATAGGAATTTCTAATATATTTATTTAAAACAAGAATTTTTTTTTTCTTCTTAAATGTAAAAGTCTGTTTAAATTTTTATGACTAGAAATTTTATTATTAATTCGTTTGAAAATTATAGTTTATTATTTATAATATATTTTGTTTGAGCGAGATATTTATCTATTGCTAAATTTAATATAAGAATAATAGATTTAAGGTTTTAGTCTCCTTAGTGTTTTCCCTTGCACCCTTCCCCCTTCTTTGTACGTCACTGAAAACGCCAGTTTTTGGTTTTCTACATGAATTATATCTGAGTCGAATTATACGAGTCACACATTATAAATAAAAACATGTAATATTTATATTATTCTCTAACATGTTTTGAATCAAATTCAAACTTATTAGTAAAAACTGAATCTAAGCGTGAGTTCGTCAATGTCTTGGAGAAATTTAAAAACTGCAGACGGTAACTTTATTATTTCGTAATAATTTTTCTTCCGAAAAAATAAAGAAAAGCTTTAGATTAAGCGTAAACAGTCTTATAGATCTGGAATATTTCAAAAACAAATATCCTTCAACTATAGTTATAAACATGAAATCGTTTAAAAATGATATATAAATTCACAACTATCCCACACAATCACAATTCTTCTTGCTTTGTTTTAAGTTTGGATTGTTAAGAGAGAAAAGCGGGAAAAAAATTCTCTCGTTTACCTGCATATCTGTCAGACATATGACACGAATGGATAAATTAGAATCGTTTTTTTTTTTTTTTTAAGAGACAAAATCGCTACGATAGCAACCCTCCGATCTCGCCAAACAAATTGCGCGAGTAGTCATTTCGATTTATTTTTTTATTCCGTGCGTTCGTTTTCCGTTTCCCTTCTCCATATGCTCAACTAGTGTTAGCCTCGTCATTTATCGTAATTTGACCTCTAAAAGAGATAGAAGAAGAAAGTTTTTTTTTTTATAAGTGTGAAAGGTCGATTAATAAGAGTGAATCCTGTATTGTGATGAAGGCCATCACAGAATACTTTACGTCGCACAGAGTAAAATACAACGAGATGCACGAGAAGAAAGACAGTGAAAAACGACGAAGTTACCAGTCGACTAATTACAGACCGTTGCCAGGTGCGTAAAATGAAATAGACCGAGAAATTTGTTTTTGTTTTGATTTCATTTTCTTTTCTTTTCTTTTATTTTCATAACTTAAGACTTATTCATTCATAGAAAACATGAAAAAATGTTTGTATATTTTTTTTTTTTTTTTTTTTTTTTTTTNTTTTTTTTTTTTTTTTTTTTTTTTTTTTTTTTTTTTTTTTTTTTTACAAATTCGGGAATTGATTTATATTGTTTTCACAACTTTGTTTTTTAATAATATTAATAATTCTGAAATAAACAAAAAACTTATATTTACTTCATTAAACTTTGAAGTTGTTGTCAGTTTAAGTTAGAAAATTATTAGGTTAAATTTTAGAATCTTTATAATATTATAAGAAATTTGGATTTATTGTTTCCAATTGAATTATTTGATATTTTATGCTATTTAATGCTATTGATATTTGATATTAAATGTTAGTGATAGAAACTGTATAAATTTAAATTATTACTGGTGTCAAACGAATACTGTTAGTGCAAATATGAATTTCTAAAAAAATGTAATAATGTTATCAAGTATTATTCAATTGATATATTTAACAAAATTTTTAAAATAAAGAAAAATTATGGTTTTTATTTCATTTGTGAACTAAATTCATTACTTACCATTTGTGAACTAATTTCATTAACTAAATCAATGTTTCTATTCTTAATAGTTTTTCTAATATACCATTTTTTAATGTTGTTTAATCAGTACCAGATTAAGGGGGGGGGCTAGTTAGGCTGTTGTCCCAGACCCCCAAATTTTTCAGGGCCCCACAAGGAGGTTCTAAAATTTATTAAGGTAAAATTTATTCATGTAATTTTTTTATAAAATTTATTAGATATTTTCAAGCTTAGTATTTTACTCTTTCCTTAGAATTATTAAAAATGTATTTTCATTGTAAAATTCTTAAGATACATAAAAATTAAATATGGGCATGTTATTTCCTTCAATACCCTTCATCCAACTCCTTAATTTTATCCATTTTGTTTTGCTTCAAGCCACAAGTCCTGGATTTTTCTAATTGATTTGCTGTAATTAGGTCTCACAAGAACCCAATTTTTTGAAAAAAATGAAATAAAAAAACACATAAAATAGTTCTCTAAATTCCAAGCTTCAAAATTCTTAAACATGCTAAATACCTGCTAAAAGATTAAATATTTTATCTCTTTCTTGTTTTTAGCTTTAAAGAATTGATGATAATTCATGAATTTTATTTGTCTGAAATATTGAGGGAACTAACTGTTAGAAATTTCTAATCATTGAAGAAAAAGAAATCATCCCACTTTTCCCCTGCCATGTTCTTGGCCTTGTTTGGTTGACAAAAATTTAGCAAGTTAAGTTAAAATGGACAGTTCTAATTTGTCTTATGGTTTTGAAAATTTGTGTGTTTGATAGCTCTTACTACTGTGCAACATTTATTATTTCAAATTACTTTTGCTGACTTAGATATTTAATTGGATTTTAATGTTTAGCATAATTATTTATGGAAAAAATTAAAAATTTCAAGACCGCTTTTTTCATTTTAAATTTCTGTAAAACAAGATTAACTTGAATTTGATTTCATAAAATATTTTTTAATTTCTCTAAATAGTGATACATTTTAACAAATTTGGTAACTTTGAACGCCCAGTTATACATCAGCCCCAGGCCTCATCATACCTAAATCCAACTCTGTTAATATTTTATGATAAATTTTAAATTTGCTGCTTTTGTGTTTAACTGTTGTATATTTTAATCTATTTTCAGAATTACATAAATTGATGTTTTCTTGCCTATATATGTGATGTTTATATGTAAATCTTATTTATAATTTTAAGACATAATTTAAAGTCAATGCTATTTTTCACTAACATTATTTTACAATTATTTACTTACAGTCTCAATTATATACGGCATGTGTTACATTCTATTTTTGTAGGAAACTATATAATTATACTGAGTTATAATAGTTCTAAAAATTTCTCATGTGAAAAAGAAATTTTAAAAATATCTGCCATCTTTTAAATATCTACCAAATTATTATTTAAAAAAAAAAATTCCTAGCTTGTTTTTAGCTTAGTTAATTTCAAAACTATGACTCAAATCGAAACTTTTCTATGTCTGAAATACTGGGAAAGACTGTTTTAAATGTCTAACTGAGGGAGATATATGAGCGGCAATGGCGCCCATTTTGTATAGTTTGTTTACAGAACTTACAAGACTTTTCTAGTTTGCTTATAATTTATTTCTTATGCATTATATTTTCATTTCAACTCTATGGCTTGAAGAGGTCTGAGCACCTCTTATGCATCATATTTTCATTTCAACTCTATGACTTGAAGAGGTCTGAGCACCTCTTATGCATCATATTTTCATTTCAACTCTATAGCTTGAAGAAGTCTGAGCACCTCTTATGCATCATATTTTCATTTCAACTCTATGGCTTGAGGAGGTCTGAGCACCTCCTTACAATAATTTAGTGCAAACTAAAGGCAAACACCGTTAAAGAGCACAAAAATATTTGTAAAATACAGACAGCTGTTTCGGATGCTCAAAGGGCAACCTTCATCAGTGCAACAGAAAGAAATGAGAAAGAAAAAAAATATTTAAAAAAAAAATTCCCCCTTCTCATTTCTTTCTGTTGCACTGATGAAGGTTGCCCTTTGAGCATCCGAAACAGCTGTCTGTATTTTACAAATATTTTTGTGCTATTTAACGTTGTTTGCCTTTAGTTTGTATTTTAGCACAAAGGTCGCCCACTTGTATATTTTTAATAATTTAGTGAGCTTTAGTTTCAATTTATCTAGCTGTCCCTCTAATATCAAATAGTCAAAAATATCATTTGTCGTATTTAAGCTGATATGTTATACCATGTTTATGTTTATAAATTTTTACCTAAAAGTTTCATTTTTTTTTGTTTTCTATTTCTTGTAGATTATCCGTCTTCTGTCAAAGATAAAAATGATGATGACACCATATCAAATTCAGATACAGCAGTACCAAGTGAAACAACTGGGTATTTTGCATCATTTTCTGTTTCATCTGATAGCCTCAAAAACTCCGAACCATCCAAATGGGGAAGGTAATTAACTGTTACATTAATCTCAGTAATAAAGCCAGATTGACGCACGGGTTAAAGCCCTAATGATGGCTTTAAGCCCACCTAGCTTTAGATCAGTATGTAACGGTCTGTTTAGGGAATAAAAAATAGGAAAAAATTAAGGATCGCCACTGAACACAGGGCAACTTGATTTAAAAACAGGTGATTACAAAATAATTTGGCAACTTCCACTTTTTTTGTCTAGAACACATCTGATTCTGGAAATTATTTTAGTTTATGCTTGTTTCTTAAAATTTTTCTGACATTTTGAAATAAAATTTGTAATGTTTTCCTTATTTTGAGAAGTGTTTCAGAAGAATTGCATTAAATTTTAATTTCAGCATTTTCTCTAATTGATTTAATTTTTGCATTTTCAAAAAAAGTGGCCACATATTTTCAGAAATTTCTGCTTTGCTGCCAGTAGCAAATTTTTTTTAATTTTGCCTATGTTGATGTCCAAAATTGCCACTATCATTCTTTGATATCAGGAGCCTTAAACTCCATGATTCTCTTGCTTACTATGGGCTCTTATAGGAATGCTTAGCTTTGAGTCTTATAGGTATTCACCCTTCATAGTAACCAACAGGCAATCCTTTTCTGCTTTTTTTTTTTTACTCCGTTTTATTTCTTTTGAAACTTGAATGAAATACTTTGTAGAGTTCCTTTTTTATATAGAGAAATCTAAAGAATATTGGTAATAAAAATGTTTCAAGTGCCAGAAGTATTTTGTGAAAAATAGCGTTAGGGTACCAAATAAAGGAAAAAAAGATGTGTGTCAGGGATGAGATTTTTCCGCTTTTTAGCGGATTTCCTCCTTTTTCCCCATCTCTTGAATTTCAGCTTTTTTATCAAAAATTCAGATTTTCTAAAAATTTCACTTTTTTTTATAAGTATTCCGCTTTTTCAGAAAATTCACCGATTTTCAAAGAGAAACAGAAAATTCAAACTACATAGCCACCAATCCTTTCGCATTTTAGCTATTTTCTCCCCTTTTACTCGCAGCAGATAAGATTTTCCGAATTTTTTACCCGCCCTCCAGATAGATCCGATTTTTGTAGTTCAAACGACGCTGCTTCTGACAAGCCTTTTAGGGGCCCCAAGCCTGGAATCTGCTAATATCTCGATTCTTATTCACACGATTTTAATATCAAACATAGTTTTTCATATTTACGAGTTGCAATTCTTATTCACACGATTTGAATATTGTACATTGCGATTCTTATTTACGAGATTTAAAAATCCGATATTGTGATTTGTATTTACACCTTTTTAAAAACCTATGTAGCGATTCGTATTCACGCAAGTTTAAAACTCAATGTCCTGATTTGCTCATGCAGTTTATAATATCAAATATTGATTTTCGTATTTATACGTGATTTTAAAATAAGGCATTGGGATTCGCATTCACGCATTCTAAAAATTATGCATCATAATTCTTATTTATGCAATCTAAAAATTACGCATCATGATTCGTATTTACGCAATCTAAAAATTATGAATCGTGATTTGTATTTACGCGTTTTAAAAATTCTATATCCCAGTTTGTATTTTCTCATTTTCAAAATCGTATATCTAGTTTCATATTCATGTGATTTCAAAATCCATAATTGTTATTCATATTCACGCAATTTTAAGATCAACTATCGCGATTCTTGTAAGAAGTAAATTTTTTTTAAATTAGTTACTATAAAGGTGACTGTTTTTCTAACGACGATTATTAGTATATGTAAGTGTTACAACATCAGAGAAACTGGAAGGGAATATATTCAAAACTTACATTCTGTGCTTGCAAAGAAGAAAAAATAGGATTTGTCACAAGATGTTTGAAGATGGACTAACGACTAAATATAGCAAACATAAAAGATATAGCAAACAAAAGCAATCACTTAAAAAGGGATTTAATAAAAAAAAATTTTTGGGGAAAAAGAGTTAATTAACTCATCATCAAAATTTTATTTATAATTGCTGTTATTTATGCTATAAAATGCAAAATTCTTATCAAATAAAAAACAATTATCTAAACAGTTGCTGATTGTCATGTAATTTTTCAAACTAAAATAGCAATTTTTGTATGTTAAGGAGTTACTATATATTTCTACTTCACTGTTATTGATATGTTTCAGAGGGCTCTAGTTAGATTAGACTATAATATGAACATAATGATTCGGTCCATTGTTAAAGTTTTTTTTTCCAATATAATTTAAAAAGTAATATTACTGATAAATTTGCTATAAATCACATAACAGTATTTATTAAAAGAAATGAAATATTAATGTATATTCTTAGTAGTTTTAATCTGCTAAACCAGGTAGTTTTTCAAGTAAAAATTGTCTCTTATGTGAACTGAGGAAAAATATAATTTCCAGCTTTATTTTTTCAATTGGTAATTTTTATTTTCACTAAATGTTGAGTATCAATGTAATCATTTATATAATAATAGATTAGTACACAATTGTATATCAACACATTATTTATTACATTAAACTGCCTGGAATTTATTGTTAAAGGGTTGCGCTTGCGTAAAATTTACTATCGTGGAAATTCAGCTTTTTTGCCTTTTGGCTAATCTCATCCCTGTGTGTGTGTAGAATTGAGGATGATACTAAAAATTTATTGTTGATAGCTAATTTAGATGCTTCAACAACTGTACGTGACAAAAAGAGTATGATTATGCTATAACCTAATAAATTCGCTTATTAATTTAAAGAGTTCAATAAGTAAAACATAAATATGAAACCTTTATTGATTTAAATTTAGATTGATATTGCTCTATGAGTATATTTTTTTTTAGTTGTTAAATTACAGTATATCTAGATATAATATAATTTCCAACCTCTACAATTCTCTCAATATTAATCTATTGTTTAAAAAGTTGAACATTGTGAGGCAAACTTGAACTTCATATTTTAGATATCTAAATAAAACCATTGTGAATATTTTGTATATCCAACAATATTAGACTCTTTTTTTTTCATACTACACTTTTAAAAATATAATTGTTTTCACACACACATCTGCCTTCAATATTTTATTCTTACATACATACAACAAAATTAAATTTTTTGTTGTGGACTATGCATGTGACTGAGAATCTTTTCAAATCATTTAAAGATAACTGTGTACTTTCATAGTATTATAATCTTGACAATATTTAAAAATATTTTGCTTTGTTTTACATAGATTTTATAGAACAAAAAAAAATAACTTAATAAAAAAAAGGTACATCGTCACAAGAATACGAATATAAATTCGTTCTAAAAAAAATTTCCACAAAATTTTTTGATAAATTTGATGTGTTAATACTAAAATAATGAGTATGTTTTGAATATACAAATTACCTCCTAGAATGTGCAAATTATCTCCTAGAAATTATCCCCTATTATCTAGAACCATAATTCGATTTTAATTAAAAACATCAAATTTTATTTTTATTTACTATCTTTGAAAGAAAGTATAAATTTATCAAATTTTAAAATGCTTACATATTAAAAACTTTGTTAGTAAAATAACCTTACTTTTTTCTTTTATGTTTTATTGATAAATCTTGACAAACTGCAAAAAAAAAAAAAAAAAAATTATTTTGCCCCTGTAAATTTGAATATTTCATTACAGGTTGACTTTACCAGTGCCACAATTTTCAAGAAATGATTTTAGTGTTTGGAGTATATTAAAGCAATGTATTGGCAAGGTTTGATAACTTTTTAAAAAAAATTCATAACTGTTTGTATTGTTCCTAAATTATTCATTTGCTTACATTAGAGTTATTTTTCTATAAACAGGAACTCTCAAAGATTACTATGCCCATTGTTTTTAATGAGCCTATAAGCTTTCTACAGAGGTTAGCAGAAAACATGGAATATAGTGATCTTCTTGAAAAAGCAAATAATTCTGATAGTCCTGTAGAAAGAATGGAGGTAAGTTAAATTTTTAAAATTATACTTTTTTTAAAAAATAACTAAGTAGTGTCATAAGTTTTTGCTATGGCACTAAACTTCAGGGGCAATAAAGGGGTTTCAGCTTTTCTCCTTTAATTATGGTGTTTTTAATGTAGTTACCTATTTCACACAGCGCAATTTCTTGAGAATAGTAATTATTATTTATTTTGATTATTTATTCTGTTTTTGTTTGTGTATCGGGCTTAGTTTATAAAACTGTTACCATGATTATTTAACTGTACATAAGATTATTTGAACTTGGCACAATACAGCTGAACCATGGTTTCTTAATAAAACTATACACTAAATTTAATCTAACCCTTAAAGTATGGCAGTTTTATCACTTAAACTTTAAATTTGAAAAGTGTTTTTTAAATTAGCATTGTAATTTTATTATCATGTTTAATTATTATAGTAATTAATTATTGTTTAATAATTGTATCAGTTTAATTATATACTAAATAACCAAATTGCATTCAATGAAATAATCAGGTCTTTTTTCCCCCCAACATTTACGTAGTGAGCAATGTATTACATTATTTAATTATACTTATTTTTTCTTCGTGGCACTTTAAGTTAATAACAAGCTCTGATACTATATTTCACATTTCATTCTAGGCAAATTTAATTCGATCAAATATAATTTGGAATTTTTGTAATTCATCATTTTTTTTTAAATTTTTTTTTATCAGGAGACTAATGCTATAAAAATTTTCAGTATTATAGTTGAATACTGTGTATTTATCATATCTTTTATATTTATATGTATTGTATCATATTTGAAAAATTAGCTAAAAAACTGAAATTAAAAAATTATAGTATAAAGCTTATTTTTAGTATGTTGAATTACTTTTAAAAGTATTTTAGTATTTAATTTTTACGCAAACTAATTCTAAGTATTATTCTATATCAGTATATTTTAGTGTGTCTTTTTAGTGATAGAAGCTATAAATTATACAAATTGAAAGGATAAAAATTATATAATTTTATGATTTAATATTTTTAACATTTTTGGTTGGAAGAAACTTGCAGCTGGTTGTGAGAAAACTTATTAATATTTCTATTGCAATTCTCTTTCAAAGTTTCCCACTTGATATGTTGCTCTTAACTAAAGGTTTGTCCACAACCATTGCTGCTACTTAAAACATTTTATAACAATACTTTTGGTTTAAAAACTCTATTTTATATTTGAATAGTTGTTAGTCTACATGAATAGTTGTTTTATTTGACTTATAATATTGTTTTATTTCACTTATAATGAATGTTTTATTTTTTATTTAGTTTTTATTTGTTTATTTAAAAGGAGGTTATATTCTTATAAAAATTTGGTTGTTTTTAAATTTTGTAGTATGTTGCTGCATTTGCTTGTGCTTCTGTTGCATCAAATTGGGACAGATTAGGAAAACCATTCAATCCTCTATTAGGAGAGACATATGAGCTTATAAGGTAAAAATTATATTTATAGGATTCTATTTATTTATCCAGTTTTAAGTTGCAAACAATTGGTTAGTGATTCATTTAAATTGTACCTAGAAGTAAAGAGAAATAGAAAAATAATATGCACTATGTATAACTCTATAATATGAATATTTAATTTAAAAATAAAAATTCAAACATTTTTCTTTAAACTGGCTAGATTTTTATCTACTCTACAATTTTGAGTTAGTATTACAGTAAACTGTCTAAAAGAGCATTCCGAAAGTTAAGTTAAACTTCAAAGTATCTCTGTTCTGTTAAAATGACAAAAAAAATGATAAATTAAATTGATAACATTACGTTTTTTAGATAGCTAAAAAAAAATTTTAAGAACTTTATTAACAGACGAATTAAAAGAATAAAATTTTATTAAAATTTTTTTTAAAATTCCTTTCTTTATGTTACCTTATATACAGGGTGCGTAGCGTTTGTAAAAATAACTTAAAGGTGCTTTTTTGGGGATTCCGTTTTTAAAAGCTTTTAAAGGTGCTTTTTTCAGCTGGCGTTTTTAAAAAGTGCTTTTTTTTCACGAATAAATTTTTTTTCCTTCAGTGATATCTGGTAGATCCCATGCATTTTACGAAAAATGGGGTGTTTGCTACGTAATTATTCACGCGGACTTCGTGTCGTACCCACGTTATGTCTTGCGCATGTGCGCACACTTGAAACCGAAACCCGAGTGCTCCAATTCGGATAGAGAATATCAGATCCTTATGAAATCTTTTTCTTTTTAATTTTATTCTTGTTTATTTTATTTTACTTCTAACACTTTTTTGACGTAGGGGGTAAGGGTACTTTTGTTCTGAGTTCATGATCAAGTTGAATTCACTCGGTGATGTGGGAAAGTACTGATTGTTTCGATTTACGTCCGTTTCTTTTTGGGTTTTTTTTAACGCTAAAACTGTTTATAAAAAGTTTTTGTTTTTCAATAATATCATTGATTGAATATGAATTTTTTGAGTGCTTGAAAATTTTTGTAAAGTGCTTGAAAAGTTTTTAAAAAGTGATTTTTGATTTAAAGATTTGGCTACGCACCCTGATATACCTCCAATCCCTGCGTGAATGGATTTTATTATTTACATTATCTGTGCAAACATTTAATGATTTTAAAGTATTTTACTTGTTAATATAGAAGGTTTTCATAAAGTTCTTCCATTTATATTCTTTTTTGTTCTTGAAAAATTTATTTTGTATAAATTATGTTATTTTAGGAATATAAAAATCAAATATCTTATTTATCGTACATACTTTAATTTTTTTTAAATTGTCTTGCAGGGTGGAGGAAAATTTTAAATTTGTTGCTGAACAAGTTAGTCATCACCCACCTGTAACAGCTTTCCAAGCAGAATCTTCTGATTTCATATTCACTGGAGCTGTACATCCAAAATTAAAATTATGGGCGAGATCTGTAGAAGTTAAACCTGAAGGAACACTAGTTCTGAAATTATTAAAGTAAGTAAAGTTTCTTCTACGTCATGAATTTTTATTTTGCAAATATAAGCTGTGGTGGCTTAGGGGACAGAGAGCTCGCCTTCTAATGAGGTGACCCACGTTCGAATCGCACCAAGTCTAGACAAATTCCGTATCCGGCTCGCTCCGACCACATTGCTAACGCAAAATATTCTCAGTGGTAGACGGATCATGAGTCAAAAGTCTCCTTGCTGTCACGCTAACTGTGGGAGATTGTGTGGTTTTCCTCTCCATATAATGCAAATGCGGGTTAGTTCCCTCAAAAAGTCCTCCACAAAAGTTACTTTCTCCCATTGCTTGATCCAGAGTTCCCTTGTCTTCTAGAGTGGGTTCAAAATTACAAGGCTAAGGAGGTGAACATTGGTGGTCGTAAACTCAAAATTGAGTCGACTGTTCAACAATGGTTATAAAATAAAATTTGCTGATACATAAAAAATTTTTTTCTTTCCTTTTATATAATTAACAATGTTTTTTAAAATATTGTTGTGATTAAACAATACTTAAATGTTTTGATCATATTGCTTTGACCTAAATGTTGCTTTACAATTTTCTTAATTAACATTCAGTGGTTGCTCACTTTATGAAAATGTTAGCATGATATATCATTTCTACCAAGGGAGTTGTTGAAAGATTGAGGTCCCACACTGAAAAATTATAAATCTCTAAAAATATTCTCTCCCTATATTTTAGATAGGAAATTAATATAACTTGGAGTTCATAATGTTCTTGGAGTTCTCCAACTTATCTGTATCTTAGTTAAGAGATTTTCAATATAAAGCATCTGTAATAGTTTGGCTATGAGCCAAAACTTACAGAAAATTTAATAAACCAAATTTACCCTGTCAGGTTAACAGGGAATTTATTTTAAAGGTGATGTGCAGTAGAATCCTAAAACTATGGCAATGTGTTTATTTTTCTAACTTTTAAAATTATTTAAACTATTCAAAGCATTAACTTATCTTAATATACAGTAATTCTAAAAAAAAACATATATTTGTAAGATAAATTAGCTTTTGAAAACTACGGTAGCTATACTGGGCACTTTTATCTATGTATTTGTTATTGTACACTAAAGCACTGCTAATTTTTCAATGAAAAAAATTTTTTTATTATGAAAATTTTGCTAGCAAACTAAAAATAAAGTTATAGTTTTATATTTAAAGAGCTGAATCAATTGATAAATATTTTAGCAACTTTAGTGTAGTTCTCCTTTAGTAATAAAAAACAAACATAAAATGAGATAATGAAATAACAAAGAAAGAAATAGAATATAGCTCCGTACAACTTACGTAATTTTGAAGCTGTGTAAAGAAAAGGAGATTTTAGCTAAACTTAGCCAAGTTTGGCCATCTTTCTCTTTTACATGTCTAATCTGAAAAATTTTATAACTACTTCTCATAACTTTTTTTAGACGTAAGAATTCTAGTGTAAGGAGAAGAAAAATTATTTTGACATCAAAAAGAAAGTGCACCTATAAAGGTTTACTAAAGTTTTAATTTTAAATCTTGTGATGAAAATGTTGCCTTATTTCAGCAATGAGTATAATTTACAAAAAAATCATGTTTGATTTATTTTTACAGATTGGCATCATTGCATATTTATACATTGTTTTATTTTTGCTTATCTGAAAATATATTTAAATTACATTTGAAATTTTTTTTTATTTTCCTTCAAAGTGTTAAATGCTAATTACAGTTTTTATGCCAGAAACTAAATTTTACATAGTGTTATTAATAATGGATTATTTTGCTAATAAGCTATGACATATTATTAAATTGTTTATTGTTGAAAAATAATTCTGAAAATTATTTTTATTCATTTCTTTTTAATGCATTTGTCAATTATTTCCACTTTAGTTAAAAGCTATTGCAAAGACATTAAAAGTACAAGTATTTAAAACAAATTGAAAATAAATAATAAAATTTTTTATCGTTTAGTATTAAACTTAAAACTTATTGTTCAGTAATTTTTATGATTCCATAGTTTTCCCTCGGATATTGCCTTTTAAGTGGCAGCAGTGAAGTTTAATTATCCAAATTTTATGAGAGCTTGCTACTCGTATTTATGAATTTCTTTTGACTCATTTATAAATTTATTTATTTTTTACTAGGCACAATGAAACATACACATGGTCTGGTGTAACATGTTGTGTCCATAATATAATTGTAGGAAAACTTTGGATGGAACAGGTAATTAATCATTATGCATTTTCTGTTAGCTTTTAAATGATAAACTTTTGAGCACATTCATTGATCTTTGTCATTTTTTAGTGTGGCGTATTAGAGATAACATGTCATACTAATGGACTAGTTGCTGAACTCAATTTTAAACCTGCTGGCTGGTATAGTAAAGATTTAAATTGTGTAGAAGGCTTTGTTTTAGATAGGCAGTAAGTGTTAAAACTGATTTATTAAAATTTTATTAAAAAATGCTACAGTTTTAAAAGTCCTTAAACTAATCATAAAAACTTTTTTTATATATAATTGTTCCAATTACATGCTGTATCGTTACAATTTTAGTTCGGTTCTATCTGTTTTTAATTTTGGAGGTATTTTATTTTTTTAAGACTTTGTAAAATAAGCTCAGTAGATTTTTTAATGAGTCTTATTTACCAATTTTATAATTACATCTTCTTTTAAATTGTACTTTTCAAATGGAATGGAACTTGATTCAACTATAAAACACTAATTTTGCTTTTATTTATATATTAAAAGAAAATAATTTGCTGTCATTTTGAAGAGAATTGTGAGATTGAACTATGCTTAGGATTCCAGTCAAACGATTTATTATTTCTGTTCAATAGTTTGTTGTGCATATCTGAACATAAACCTGGAGACTAATCATTAGAATTAACATTATTTTAGAATTTATTAACATCAAAAATATTAAAGTATAAAGAAGAGGAAGATAAATCAGTACAGCACATCATGCTACAGAGACAGCTTATAGATTGTTCTGGCAAATGAAAAATTGTAGTTCAAGCTCTTGATCATAGCGATAAAGTTGAGTCACCGCAATATGTTATATTAGGGGGAAGGGGAATTGAATTAATAATAATAAAATGTCATTGAAATGGGATAAATAAGTAATCTTGCAACTGTATTTTAATATTGTGCGTGCATAAAAAAGTTTAAGAGTGATATTTTATACATTTTCATGTTTTTTTGCTTGTTTGTCATGTTTCTCATGCTTATTTCTTAAGTCTTATTAACAAGTCTTATCAAGACTTATTAATTAGCCTACTTAAAATTATGAAACATGCTCAACAATTTTAATATAATTTTTTCATCTTTGTAAAGCTTTCATATTGAGAATGCATTTACTTACAGAAAGACAAAGCATCGTTTAATATTTGGAAAATGGTGCAGCTATATTAAGAGTATGGATGCTCAATACTTTGATGATTATCAGAGATTGAAAGAAGTGCCAAATAATAACAATCAAACAGCTACTTCTTCTAAAGAAAACTCTGGTTTCTTCAGTAAAGTCCAAAAGAAAAGAAATTCTTCTGTAAGTGATCTTCCTTGATAATTTGTTTAAGCTTTTATTTTATATTGTGTGTATTAAATTTTAATTTTAAAACCAAATAAAATTCTATTTTTTCATTAGTTTTTAATTAATAAAGCTAAAAAACTGTTTTATTAATCGGTGGACTAAAGTTATATTTGTGAAACAGTATTGATAAGGTATTACAACCCAAATAAACAAATATGTAATTATCACAGTGGTATTGAACATCTATTATTTAATTACTTATTGTTAGTCCTAAATTTTAATCAGTTAAAAGTGTTTTTAATAAATTTAAAATTAGTAATAAATTTAAAATTTCATTACATTGTTAAACATAATTTTATATATAAATTTACAAAATATAATATGAATATTTTCTTCTTTCTTAACCTTTTTAAAATATCCAAAAAATTTTATTAACAAATTAATTTTTTTACAAAATTTTGACTTTTGATATAGTCAAATAGTTACAAAAACTTTTTTTTTAATGAAAAATACCGTCATACTTATAACTTAAGATTATTACTGTTAAATATTGTTTTATAAATGCCATTTTTTTAAATACTTTATTAAAACTTATATTTTTATTAGAAATTCCTATATTTCCCTGTGTTCATTCTACTATCATTGTTATATAAGGCAGATTATTGTTTCAGTACTATAATAAGCCCCATGGTCCATGAAAAAAAATATTACTTCTGTATTTTAAACTTCATGTCATCTGAACCATCATTTGTCTATTAACTGCAGTAGAACCCCGATTTTCTACAGTGCAGATTAACCCTGACATCTGCAAAGAGATAGAAAATTATATTGCACATGATCAAGTCCAACTTATTTTATTTATTAAACTCTTATTTTTTTTAAAGTGTATCTAAACACTTCTGAATATGAATACTTTTATTGAAGTATGTACATATTAATTTTTTCTTTTACCATTTGTTGTATTTGTGGTTTAACTTAAGAACAAAGATTTCTCTTGAATGGTTAAAATATATAAACATGTAGGAATACATTTTAAAATTTTTGTGCTTCCACCTTTTTGATTTTTTCAGATTATCAGTTATTTTTGTTATCCGTGCACCCTTGCTACCCAGTTCTACAAATAAAATGTGGACTCTACTGTAGATTATATTCAGGAATTATTGTATTCGGGCTATACCCGGAATTCAGGGTTTTCCCTATCATCCTCCTAGGTCTAGAAACTAGGAGCAAGGCATGTGAATTTTTCGCGGCATTCCGCGTTCTCAATTTCAACACAGTCTAAAATTTAAAATAAGAGTTAAGATTTAAAGTAAGAGCTCTGTTTTTTGCCAAACCTAAAGTTTGAAAGTTACTCTAAATAATGTTCACAAAACGTTTTCAAAAATGTGATTCTATGGCCTTTTTTTTGTTGTTGCTTTTTGGATTTTTGCTGTTTTTAATATTTGAAACTATGACGGAATAAGTTCATATCGAGATTCATATTCAGGCAATTTCATCAAGCATCGTTTCGTTAGAGTTTCATATCCAGCATCAATTTTTGCATTTACCTGATTTAAAAGTAAATTGTACTAATGTGATGAAAAAAAACTCTTATTCAAGTGATTTAAAAATCAAATATAACCATTTGTATTTCTGAGCTCTTAAAATCAATATCACGATTCATATTCATGCGTTTTAAAAATCCAATACTGCTGTTCGTATGAGTATAAAATCCAATGTGGCTATTCATTTTCACAGATCTCTAATATCAAACATAGAGTTTTGTATTTATACGCGATTTAAAATTCACACATTGCGATTCATATTCATGTGATCTAAAAACCGTGTATCGCTGTTCGTATTTCCGCGATTGAGTGATTTAAACTGTGGTTTCTCAAAAGATAGAGCGCTCACCTCCCGATGAGGTGGCCCGGGTTCGATTCACAGCAATGACTGGTTAATGCGCATTTCGCACCCAGCTCGCACCACCCATAGTACTGACGTAAAGTATCCTCAATGGTAGATGGATAATGGGTTAGAGTCCCCTTGCCGTCAAGTTAACTGTGTTAGGTTTCCGTTGTTTTCCTCTCCATATAACTCAAATGCGGGTTAGTTTCATCAAAAAGTCCTCCACGAAGGCAACATTTCTCCCAATACTTGATCTTGATGTTCTCTTGTCCTCTGAATTAGACTTCAAATTACAAGGCTACAGAGTTGAACATAGGTAGACGTAAACTCAAATTTGGGTCAGCTGTTCAATGACGGCATTAAAATAAAAGAGAAAAAAACATGATTTGTATTTTTGCATTCTTGAAATTCACTATCATGATTCTTGTAAGAACTAAGCAGGGTGCATACCGTTTTTAAAAATTGCTTGAAGGTGCTTATTCTCGTTTTTTTAAAAGCCCTTAAAGATGCTTTTTTCATTAGGTTTTTTTAAAAAAGTGCTTAATCTTTCCTTTTTCAAAATGAGATTTTTCCTTTACCATGTTGAATTTCATTACGAATTATGCAAAAAGACACTGTTCATATTGTTCTATTCAGCATTTTCACAATTAATTTAACCCCAATTTATTTTGGCGTATTGTCAGTCCCTAGCACATAAAAACCCCATGCGTTTTACAGGATTCTAAATTTCATGATTTTTGTCAATTGTCTAAAGCAATGCCAAAAGTTTTTTTTTTTTACATGACGGTTAAAACCAGGTAAAACCATCAATTGTTAAAAACTTTCCAAGTCTGCCTATGATATCTTTTTTAAGTGGTTAAAATTTATTTTGAGTGCTTGAAAAGTGCTTATTTTTTGTTGAATAATTTGGCTACGCACCCTGACTAAGTTTTTTCTTAAATTATTTACGATAAAAGTGAGGTATTCTTCAGTGGTAGGTAATTTAATTATAAGTTATCAAAAAATTATCTTTACTATATGAATTGATATCCAATTTTTGCACATTTTCAAGGTTTTTCACTTTGCTTCACAATCACCCCTGGATTTGTGCTCTTACGAATTGTTACAGCCTCGAGTCAAATTTAATTTGAGTCTGGAAAATGTACTCAATATCCGCATTCGTCTGATGGTAATGGAGTGATTGTATTTTAAGAACAAGAAAGTCCTTTTATACAACCTACCATGAAACAATACTGTTTCCCTTTAAAGTTTTGAAACTTTATTAATTTGTTTCCAAAAAAATGAATCAAAATGACAAATGCTATGTTTTAGGTAACTCTTGAAAATGGTGATAAAGGAGAAAACTATCAAAATCTTGATGACTTGCCAACTACTCTACTTTGGGAAGTTGATCCCAGACCAGAATGCTCATCAGATGTAATTTCTTTCCCTTGATTTTCTTTATTCATTAATTTTGTTGATTTTTGCTAAAATATTCCTTTTATTTCAGTACTACAACTTTACATCTTATGCTATGGCTCTGAATGAACTGACTGATGAAATGAAACCTAAGCTTCCACCCACTGATTCTCGATTAAGGCCAGATATAAGAAAACTGGAAGAAGGTGATATAGGTATGTATTGCTGAGATAGTGCACAATAACTCTTCTATTTGCTATGATAATAGACATAGCTACTATAAAAAATAAAAATTTATGCATAACTAGGAGTTTTTAAAACTAAACCTAGTAAGGTTACAAGAATTGCGTAAAACAGTTTTGGATTTGACGTAAATAATAATTTCAAATTATTGAAATTAAAGATAAATTAGCTTGTTTAAGCCTTAATAAATTTCACTGTGATAATTGAATTTACTATAGAATTATTAAAAAATTTTTTTTTTCCTCTTTTGCTTATAAGCTTGATTGTAAAAAAGTTTTTTTTTATATATTAAAATGTACTTAATAATGTTAATGGGAAAAAACTTTTAAATTTTTGAACTGCTTCCTTTTCATACATTATTTGCTTTAAATTTTTTAAAAATGCATTGCCATATATTAAATTGTCTTAAATTTGAGTTTTACTCCCTACATAAAACAAAAGAAAATTGAATTTGTGTTTTAAAGATTTAAGTTGTTTCAAATTTAAATGTCATTCGCCCCTTAGGAGAGAGGATAATTTAATCAAATAATTCTTTTTACTTAGTGATATTTATTCAGATAAAAGTTAGCTTTGTTAGTCCCAGAAAACTTGAATCCTTTTTACTTTGTTTTGTTTCAAGCTTACCTTGTGTACAAAACTTCAGACATGGTATAGCTGCTTCCAGGCCTTGTACCATTAATCTCAACCTTCAATCAATAAATACTATTTTGTGTTCATTAAAAATTCATTCACAGAAAAGCCATTTTCTGAAGGATCCTCTAAAATTGTTTGTTAAGTATTAAAGCAACATTGCGCATAGCTTTTAAAAGTACGGTTTTTTCCCCATCATTATTTAACATTAGTGAGGCGGTCCCATTTCTAACTTCTGTAAATCTCTAGATCTTGATATATTTTCATTCATGTCTTCCTATTTAATTATAAAAGATGTATTAATCTGATTTATATATATATAGATAAAACATCGTTTTTTTTTTTAAGATATGGATGTTTAGCGGCTATTCAAAATTTACAGAGGACAAATTTGACATATATCCTCTTTCTTTTGCTTTTTCAGACTTGTTAAATAAAAAATTTTAAGGTCTCATAAATATTTGCTATTTCAAAACCTAAAAATGCTCTTGAAATTGCTGCGTTTCTCAAATGCTTTGTTTTAAAAATACTTGATATTTCATAATATCATTTTTACGTATTATGGCTAGATATATCATAATATGTAAAAATAAACTTTATTTTTTTAAATCAATAAAAATTTTATTCCACCTTGTGTTGATAATTACATAGCCATTTGCCTTACAATTAAAAGTGTATCCAAAATACAATTCATTCAGGTGAAAAATATATTTTTTAGTTTCATGTTTAATCGAAACATTTAGGAAATCCATCTTGTCTGAAAATGTATAAATAACTATAATTTTACTTACATAAATGTCTTTTTTTTTCAACATTTTGTCTTGTGTGCTATGTAAATTACTTCAGTTTTTATTCATATTCATTTCTAACATCTTTTATAAATATTACACATAGATGGTGCTGCATTTGAAAAAAATAGGTTAGAAGAAAAGCAAAGAGAAACCAGAAAGCAAAGAAAAAAAGACAAAACAACATGGACCCCTGTGTATGTTCAAATTATGTAGTAACTATAAAAATAATTTTTTTGCTTCTAGATGTGATTTTTATTTATACATTATTTTTATGCAATTTTAGATTGTTTGAATCTAAGCCCCACCCGTATGCTAAGGAAGAATCTTGGTCATTCAAGGGGGATTACTGGGAGAGAAATTTTGCTCAATCTCCAGACATATTTTAACTTATTCACAATTTTTAATGTATTTTAGTGACATGTTTTTATATGCGATTGTTTTATTATTTGTAAATTTGGTATAAGAGACTGTGCGATAAGCTTGAGAGAATTGTGCATATGTTCATAGTAATTGTAAAACTTGTATATAATTCAAGAAAATAAAATGTATTTTATTTCATACAAATGTATGTTTTATTGTTGCAGTTAAGTTTGTTGCATTGTTATTTAAGGAATATGTGAAGAATTATTTTTTAAAACTTTATTGTTACTGGGTTGAAATATGTATAGACTTTATGTTGTATTGAACTTATTAGCTGTTTATTAAAGTTTAAAAAGCACCTGAAGAAATTGAATTTGTGCCTTGGATTTTTTTTTTAAACTGAAAGGAGTGTATTTGATTTGTTCATTTACGTCGCACTAGAGCTGCATAATGGGCTATTGGCGACGGTCTGAGAAACATCCCTGAGGATGATCCGAAGACATGCCATCACAATTTTGATCCTCCGCAGAGAGGATGGCACCCTCGCTTCGGTAGCCCGATGACCTGCACTCGAAGTCGAGCACTTTACGGTAAGAACAGTTTAACGAGGACAAATACCCCGCACCCTCGGTCCCTACGCAGACTGATCCAAGTTGTCATCCACCCGCACACTGACCGCAGCCAGTGATGCTTCACTTCGGTGATCTGCTGGGAACCGTGTCTTAACGATCAGTCCACTGCGGGACCTGAAGGGAGTGTTAGGGAATAACAAGAAAATGTATGAATACTATATTTTTGATCAAAAATAATTTGTTAGTGTAAAGTTTGACAGCTATTATCAGAAAAGTATCGAATTCATTTCTTACAGAACGTATTAACTGCAAAGTTTTCATATCCTTTGGCTGTGATTTTCAAGATCTGTGTGCGACGTGACATCATGAGGTAGGAAGTTGTAGCTACAGCTTTGAGTAAATAAAGAAGTGTCCCTTCACTATCTTCTTTACAGGCTAGACAGGGATATTTCAAGGAGTAGTTTTCTATTTATGCTGTCATAAACAGTTTTGAAATCTATTAAGAGTTGGTGAATTTAGATTCCAAATTCTCTGTACTGATAATAGGAGTTTTCCCTATTCAACCTCAAATAGTGAAAGCAGGGTTACCAAAGAAAAAAATGAACAAAATAGTGTCTTTTAGTGGCCTAAAGCATGAAAATAGTTGCCTAAATAAGAACAAAAAATTTTCGACAATAGGACTAAAATTTCACTAAATGACTTGTCATATAACCATGATCCATTTAGTCAAGTTGCTGGCAAATATGATAATTTTTATATAAACGTTAGTGTTTTAGCAGTAAATTTTTATAACAAAAAAAATTTGTACATATGCAGAAAATTAATTACTAGAATTCTTTCAAAAAATAGTTTTTCATTAAAAAAAAACATACTTTTTCTAAAAATTTTTCCCTTTTATCAATAATTGATTTAATAAATATACACAATCCAGTCGCATTAATGTGACCACTACCTACTTTCGACGTCAACGTAAAATAACCAATCACAGAAGGCAGGTGGCAGCACATCACAGTGGCATCGGAAAGCATTTCAATCGTTGGCGTATTGCAGAAACGTAGCGATTTATCCGACGTCCAAATGGGCATGATTATTGGCTTTCGGGCCAAGGGTGGAAGCATTTCGGAAACGGCTGATTTTGAGAACTGTTCGCGTGCCGCCGTGGTAAAAGTATGCCGTGCATGGCAAAACGGCACTATACAAAACAAGCGGTGTGGCACATGTGGTGCACCATGGGTCATAGATGACAGAGGCGAACGAAGGCTACGGAGATGCGTTCAGGCGAATAGGCGTGCAACTGACCTCCCAGATGAATCAAGGGGCTACCAAGAGTGTATCCTCAACCACTGTTCAGCGAACATTGCTGCGCATGGGCTTCCGCAGCAAACGCCTGGTTAATGCACCTATGCTGACTGCTGTTCATCGGCGACGAAGGCTCTAATTTGCACGCCAGTACCGCATCTGGACGTCCACAGAGTAGCAACAGGAGGTGACTTTTTCCGATGAATCACGTTTTATGCTCCATCGAGCAGATGGACGTTGGCGTGAAACGTCTGAAAGCAAACACCCTGCAACAATTGCCGGAAGGCTGCAGGAGGGAGCATTATGGTTTGGGGAATATTTTCCTGGCGTTCACTGGGTGCACTCATCATTGTGGAAGGCACGAGGGATCAGCACAAGTACGCATCTGTCCTTTCGGACCATGTCCACCCTTACATCCGAATGATGGCATCTACCAGAAGGAGAATGCAAGGTGTCATACAGCTCGCAGTGTATGTGCGTGGTTCGAAGAGCACCAGGATGAATTTACCGTACTCCCCTGGCCAGCAAACTCACCGGATTTAAACCCAATCGAGAATCTGTGGGACTACCTCGATCGAGTTGTTCGCGCTATGGATCCTCAACAGCGTAATCTAGCACTGCTGGCCACGGCACTGGAGTCGGCATGGCTCAACATCCCAGTGAACACCTTCACAAACCTAATTGACTCTTTCTCTGCACATCTCGCGCTACCAAAGGTGGTTATTCTGGATTTTGGCAGGTGGTCACATAATGTGACTGGACTGTGTATATATATTGTGAAAAGTAATTATTCAAATTCGAAATTCACTCATGTTAATATTGCATTGAAAATTGGGTTTTTTAAAATCGTGCAGACTTTCGTAGCAAAGACGATCGAGAAACAAAATAGACTTACAATGGAATTTGTGCAAATTGAGTGCATTTAAAAGTGGTGACTCAAATTCGCAATTCAATTTATTTTTCTTCAGGAAAAAAAATCTTGATGTTCAGAAGCTCCCTCGGGCAGCAGCTTGTGAACCCAATTTACAGAAAAGTCTCATTTTCCTGAAAATAGTTACTTTTTTTTAGCCTTTTCAGGAAGAAAAAAAAAAGTTGCCACAATCGCCTTAAGCCGAAAGTAGTTGCAAATTGTCGCATTTTAGTTGCCTGTGGCGACCCTGTGAGAGAGATGAGGGCTATCTTAGTTAGGCTAATCAATCATACTGCATAAATATTTTTAAACAAAATAAAAATAGATTATTCTTTTTTTTCTATTACTTTTTGTAACTTGGATATATTTTAAAATTTCTTATACATGAGGACAACTACAAAATTTTTAAAATAATCAGAAGTAATAGTTGTAAGTCCTGAAAAATTTAGGTGTAAAGTATTTTTTTTATTGGAGAACTACACAGTTTTCTAAGTTTCTCAGTCTAGTATTTAATATATCCTTTTTAAAAAATATACTTTAATAATTAAATTGTTCAGTATAAACCAATAGAATAATTGTGGCTTGGTACAAGTTTAAAATGTATTTCATGTATTAAGTAAACACCTTATTAAGACAGATATTATATCTTAATTTCTGAAAAAAATAGGAAAAACCTTCAAAAGTAAAAATTTCAAATCCAACATAGAAACAGACTATTGAAATCAAGAGGTAAGACTAAAATAAAATTATTTTGCTTATCTGTTTATTGGAAGCTAAGAAAATTTTTTAAACAATAAAATGTTTTCTATATTAATTTGCTAATACTTTATGTATGTGATTTCACATAGATTTCAATCGAAATATATACTATCCTCCAATTTTTATCGTATTTATGGTCTTGTAACTTAGCATTTGTAAATCTACAAAATTTTATAGTTATGTCAAAAGATAAAATCTTTTTAATATATTATGCTTTGTGTAAAAATAAAGACATCTTCCTTTTCAAAAGCCTAGAAATTTACCGAATCAAGTTTATAAAAAAAAAAGATTGAAGAATGAGAATTTTTTGCATTTTTGCTAGTAGTGCAAAATTTGTACGTTTAGTGTTTCATTACGATAAAAAAAAAATGCTTAATGAAAATTGTGATCGCTTGATTACGATCACTGGTTACCCATTGCTCAAATGCTTTTTTTCCTCTGGTTTTACTCCAATAACCGCCACAACATTTCAAATCATGGGTTGCAAAAACTGTCTCAATTGATGTTTGTCGCCGGATTGGGTTTCAAATACTGGCTATATACGTGTTTCAAGACGTCACCTTCCTTCTTCAGTATTCATATTTATATTAAAGTCACGACAGTAATTATAAGTTAATAATTAAAAGAATATAAAAATACTTTAAAATATTTTTATGCAAATACATTAAGAATGACTGATGGTGAAAATAAAAAGAATTCTAAAAAAATTATCAAGCAGCAGCGGTCGCCATAGCAACAAATGCACACAGTTGAAAAGTGTGATGTACAAATAAGGTGTGCATGCCATGAAACCCAAAACAAGACCCATTTTGCCAATGGATAATAGCTATACTTATGCAAACTCATTATACATTAATTATCAAACTATATGAATGTTATATCATTCCCAAATAAATTTAGTTCTTTAATAATTTTTATGCAGATCAAAATCTTTAGTTAACAGGGGGATTTTTTAAAAATTATTTAATAATTTTAATTCTAATGGGCAAAAGGCATCAAATTAGAATTAATTGTTTAAGAAAATATCTGAATTAGTCTTTTCCAATAAAGATCTAAAGTGGATTTTGGTGATAACTCTGTTAAGAAATGACTGTCTCAGCTAATAAATAATTATTAAAGGGGAAAAATTAAAATACAGATATAAAAACATATACAAAGCCTTAAACATCTAAAGTATTAGAAAGCCATATGCTATAGTTAATAAAATGCTGTGCAGAAAGGGGGGATTTTTGCACAAAGCATTGCTCTTTTGAAAGGGAAGCAACTAAATCAAATACTATTTTAGCAGAAATCTGAGAAAAAAGATTTACAATAGAATTTTGACAATAAAAGGTTATAATTTAAAAAATGTATTTTTCAAGAGAGATTTTTCCCTTCTACTTGTGAGTCGTCTTCTTCTACAATTCTTTTACTGAAGTCTATTTCAGTTGCTCTAAAAGTGATAAATAGGCAGTAATTTTTTACGGAAAATAAGACATGGAATTTTTAAGGGAAAATATGATTTTTGAAATCTGGGCCATAAATTTTTTTTCAATAGAAACATTAGAGGGCTGTCCAATTTTTATCTTTCTACACATTGTTAAATGTGGAATTATGGATTTAAGGGAATTTCTGAAGCTTTTAAAATGTGTCAATAATACCTTAAAATGTGTCAAGTGGTAAGAATAGAAAAAGTAATTTCCATTGCCTATCCAGCTTCTTTAAAATAAAAAATCATGGCATATGTTTATCATAGCTCAATAATTATATACTTAATTGATCAATATCTGGAGAAATATAAAGACAAGAAAAATAGTTTATTTATAAATACATACATAGGTTGTTCATTATTTTTTTCTATACTTTTTTGTCAGAAAACTTTAACATCAACTGTTAATATATAACATGATAAAACTCTACATGATATTAAAAGCATACATTGTATGTTTAATGGATGGGTGGTCTAATGTAAACAATAACAAGCGTCCTTAAACCGGAAGAAATTTAGAAAATTTCCGGTGTATCCAATTNAAAACAGTAAATTCCAATAGTAAACATTGCTAAATACTTTAAAGATCAGGGTTCAAAACTTAATGAATCAAATATTTTTTTCATCCATCTTTTATTTACTAACTAGGTAATCTTGCTAAAAGTAGAAAAGGATTAGCCAGAAATGACTGAGAGACTCTGAGAAGTCCAGATATTCTAGGCCAGGGATGGCGAACCAATGGCACGCGTGCCATTTATGGCACGTGACATATTTTGGGCACAGCACCGATCACGAAGTTCACTATGAAGCATATTAACAATTAAATAAAAATTCACAAAAAATTAACAAGCTAACAATATAAACTAGCAAAAAAATTAACAGTTCTGCTTAAACTAACATCTTACAACCCTAATATAAGTTACTTGACATCTAATCTGCAACAACAGAAATCACACTGATGTTACTTTAAGTTGAATTACGCTGGTAACTGAGACATTGCAAAATGTTTTTTTTTTTNTGAAATACTGCAAAAGATATGATGCAATAATATGATGGCGCGTTTCTTCAATCTGCGTCGTAAAAATATATCGGAAGCAGTAACCCGGAAGTCTTAAAAGAGCAATTTTACCACTAGCGCCACCACCCTTAGCTTTACGCGATCACCCATCCATATGAAGGGAAAAAATCATAAAACTATAATGATTTACCAATTTTTTAAAAGGGTAATTCTATTTGTTGTTAATTTTATAAAACAGTAAATTCCAATAGTAAACATTGCTAAATACTTTAAAGATCAGGGTTCAAAACTTAATGAATCAAATATTTTTTTCATCCATCTTTTATTTACTAACTAGGTAATCTTGCTAAAAGTAGAAAAGGATTAGCCAGAAATGACTGAGACACTCTGAGAAGTCCAGATATTCTAGGTCAGGGATGGTGAACCAATAGCACGCGTGCCATTTATGGCACGTGACACAATATTTTGGGCACGCCACCGACCACGAAGTTCACTATGAAGCATATTAACAATTAAATAAAAATTAACAAGCTAACAATAAATAACTAGCAAAAAAAATTAACAGTTCTGCTTAAACTAACATCTTATAACCCTTAATATAAGTTATTTGACATCTAATCTGCAACAACAGAAGTCACACTGATGTTACTTTAAGTTGAATTACGCTGGTAACTGAGACATTGCAAAATGTTTTTTTTTTTTCGTTGTAAATAAAGAGTTTTGAGTTGATAGTATTTAGTATTATTATTTACCAGATAATCACGAAGTCAAAACTATTTGTCGGCATGTCTATGACCTCATTAGACAATTTTTTTAAAAAAAATGGCACGTTGGTGCATAAAGGTTCGCCACCCCTGTTCTAGGCATTGTATGAAAAACTAGTAAGTTAACAATGAAAATCTAGTTTTCATTGCTATTTAGCAATGAAAACTAACATGATAATTCAGTAGACAAAGTATTAGCAAATTTTCATAAGCTTGCTCAGGTAACCATTATTTATATGTATATATATTACAGATTAGGCTGAAATTATTTTATTTTCAGACAACGCAGAGTATCTTTTTTCCCCTTCTAATTATGAAAACTAACTTTCCTGATATTTTTAATAATTTGATCAATTTTTGAAGAAAAAAAAACTAAAATTTCAAATTTTATTATCTATTATGAGAAACTTTATGCTGATAGGTTCTGAAGCAAACATCAAACAAAATACAGCTGAAGACATGTACTAATTCTGTCCCAATAAAGTAAGCAGAATTATTGAAGTTTCAAACAAACGAAAGTTTACAATGAACCAAACAGCATAAAAATAAGAGTTCTTATTTTTTAATGAGCCAGAAATACAATATCAAACATTTTGCTGTGATTCTTTCAAATGTGATAAACAATTCTAAAATAATTCTGATTCTTTCTAATTCATTAGATAAAAATTGATTATTAAACTTCTTGAAAAATCCATAACCATTAATTACAAAACAATGGTTTTTCTATTTAGTTGTCAATAAGGATATAGTCGAATGACGGTCCAGCAAATCTGAAATATTTAAAGCATGTTTCTGAACTTCATACATAAATTTTGAGGACTCAATTGGGCACATCATAAGAATAGATATAAATAATAGCTTTTCTTTCTTTTTTTGTGTCCATGAATTAATTCTTTAGAGCCAAGTAGTTAAATAAAAATATCGCTTCAAATTTATGTTTAGGTTATTTAAAGTCTTCTAAAGAAATAATTTCAGTGTATCATACTTATCATTTTTTATGAATACAAACAATTCAATATTGAAAATATCCTTTTTATAGTTAAACTCCTCACTTTTAACTACTATAAAAAGTGAGAGCTTAAAACTCTTGACTTTAAAAAATAATAAGAAAAAGAGAAAAAAATTATAAACTGATTTAACATTGCCAAAATTGAGCAAACATTAGGAAGATTTCATCAGGAAAGTTAAAAAGTCAACTTAAAAAAAAATTATTATTATACAAATAACAAAACAATTTCATCACATCATAGTATCAAAACATTTTCAAAAACATGTTATTTCTTTTTATAGCTAGCAGCAGAAATTTTAATCTTTCCAGGAAGATTTCTAGATATGTCCTGATCTTTCACACTCTTTAATAAATCTTTTTCTCTCTGAGTGGCTGACTTTTCCTGCAAAAAGATTTGCAAAGCAGTCTTAGCAGCTTTACCTCTCCTGCTACTTCCTGGTATAATTTTAAGTTTATACTTATAGTTCAACATAGAAGAATAAGGGGCACAAACAGGAACAGAAAACAGTAAGATATCATCAGGAGTCGGGCATCCAGTTAAAGAATTGAGCACTTTAAATTCATCAGAAGTTGATTCTTCATCCTCCTCATCTGAAGCATCATTTTGTATTGTCGTTGCACTCTTTTCTTCTTCAACGGGTTTTACTTCCACGATTGTATTTTCCAAAGGAGCTTCAATAATAGTAACAGATTTCTTTGGATTCTTCATTTGTTGCGGTTGGTGCTTCACCTCTTTGCCTTTCTTATTTTTCTTATGCTCCTTAGTCGGCCCAGCAGAACCTAATATTCTCATTCGCAATTCCCGCTCTTCTTCGTCCTGATCTTTATATTTTTCTTTTATTTTCTTCAACTTACCGCGCTGTCCTCTTTTGGGGGCAGTTAGTTTATTTTTGGCTGGCTCAGTTGGGATATTTTTGTCCTCCTTTTGATTGTTTGAAGGAGCTTTTTTTGTATGCTGGATTATCAAGTTTTCAGAATTGCTCTTAATTTCTTTGGAATCATTCTCCTCAGTAGTTTCAGAAAGAACATTTATCTTAACTTCAGTATCAGGAAAATATATACCTCCTTTATCTTCTTCAGAATCAACCGCATTTTCCTCTACAGACAACTGATTATCAAGCGTCTTTACACCCCCAGTATCATCATCAGCATCTTTAGTATCATCATCATCAGAAACACTGTCGTGCTCCGAGTCATCATTTAGATCTTCCTCGTTTTGGTCCGCATTATTAAACTCAATCTGATTACCTTCAACTTTGCTGCTCCGCTCGTTGACGTGATTCTGTATACTCTCTTCATCTAACTTGAACATGAAACCAAAGCCCATAATAAGATATGCAGGAGTTAAATAGTTTTTCTTTCCACGAATCATAAAACTTCCTGTAGTGAGATATTCACCAGTTGGAGCTGTTTTTGAGACCTGGTTAGCATAAACCCACCATGCGCTAGTAACGACCTTTGCATCCCATGCTGAACTATTACAAACTGCCATTATTCCAGCTTCATTTAAGGTTTTTGGAGAAACATCACCACCTTCAGGATTTTTAATCACAACACTACTAGCACCATGCAAATCTGCGTGAACATATAAATCATTTGCTTTCAAATATCTTTTCACCAAGAGCTCATTTTGCTGCACATCTCGCCCTGCTATTACCAGATAATTTTCAGAACTTATAAACCACAAAAACTTTTCAAACCACATGACTTTCCTAGCTTTAGTAATACTTGTTGTAACAGCCACTTCTTTCAATGCCTGTTTAGTTTTCTTTTCAGCATTTTTGAAAGCTTTTTCAGACGACTCGATCGTTTTCTGCTCTTTCTTGGAGTGAGCTCGTTTCATGTCGTAATATTTCCTGGCATTTGCATAGGCTGAAAAATCCAAGTCAATATCGACCAATTGTGGCTTGGATTCTTCATCGTCACTATCGAAATGTGGATTAGAAAGAAGTATTGTGAAATGATTTATATCCAACTTTAATTTTTTAATAGCTGATGCCACTGGATCACCTTCGAATTGAGCTTCTTTAATTAAATCCTGAATATGAGACCAACTGATTTGGTTAGCAATAGCACTTCTTATAACTGTAATTGCCTTATCAACAAGATCTAAATTCATTTCAATAAGCTGAGCTTTTTCAATATCAACAGCTTGACTCTCATGCAATTTTGAAAGCCTTTGCTCGTGATCTTTCTTAACATTCGCTAATTTTTTCAATGCTTCTTTTTCTTTCTGAAGAGCTTTCAAATCTATTTTTTGACCTTCCATGCTAGAGAAATAATTATCAACCGCTTTGTCGAAAGTGGGGTATTGAGTATATTTCAACTCAGAAAACTGATGAAAGAGATAAGGATGGAATTCAACATTGGCAATAATCTCTTTAGCGTCAATATTATTTTTTTCAATTTTGTGAAACACATATCCACTACAATTTTTGGCCAAATCTTTCATCAACTTATCAGCCTCTTCCAAAGAATGAAACAATTTCGGAATATCTTCTGGAACTTTGAATTGCTTGTTTATTAAACAATTTTTCCCGAAATTATTTTTAAGAAGAACATGATCTAAGAGGGCAGGGCCATATACAACACGAGGCATTAAAATTTTTTTTAAATTTTCGCCATCTTTAGCACTGTTTAAAGCAAGACAGATTTCATCTTTGTTAAAGCCAACTGTCGACATTCGGGCATGGTCAACAGGATATTTCTCCCGAACTATAAATTTTACATCTTCACTCCCAGAAGCTCTAGGCCTGAGAATATTCAAAATAGTATATTCGTAATCAGTCAAAACTATATTACCTCTGTCATATAATTCTAAGATAATATGGTATGCGGCCTCATTGATACCAAATTGTAAATCAACAATTCGATCAGTTCCCAACTGCTTGATACTTTCTAGCCTTTTATTTTTGATGTGTTTCCTGAATTTCATCGAAAATCCTGAAGGAGAAGGATTTTTTGGCCACTCATATTCAGTGGTGTGTATTCGAATACCCGATTCAAGTAAGAGAACAACTTTTTCTTCATAACGATTCAAGCGAATTAAATATGTTTTGTTATCTATATCATACACTTGATTAACTCGCATACCAATATGTTTCTGTAATTCAGAAACAATGGCAATAATGTCAATAGTGCTGAATCTATTCTTCATACTGATTGCAATATAGAACAATTTGTAAAACTATAATGAATTTTTAGGAACCTAAACTAAAAATGCTGCAATTTGGGTTATGCTGAGAAACATATACAAAAAGCCGGAGAAGTCAACCATTACCTTTATTTACATTTTTTGATGTCGTAATGTTTACGACATCAAATTTCAGCAACTTCGTACTTAAATCAGGCCAATAACTATAACTATAACTTGAATCGGTTTTTATCAATGAAAAATTTTGAAAATATCTTCACTGTTTTTATTTGATTTAAAAAACTTATATGTTTTTTTTTCTTGCGGCTTAAGTATTAATTAGTTTAAATAATTTCAATATATCGATATTGTTATGTATATCAAATATAATTGATATCGAACGATATCAAATATAATTGATATCGTTCACTCTCAATCAAAATTTCAAAATAAACAAAGCGCTGAGAAAGAGGAACATGAGTTTTCATTTCAACACGCATTGTGTCGGTAAAAACCCAAATTTTTCAAATTCTATGCAATAGCTATTTAATAGCAGATAACAGAATTATGTTTATTTAGATTATTCCTGGGTTTTTTAAACATGTGCCATTTTTAATGTGAAATCTATTTTTCGGAGCAGAACTCATGATATCCGCTCGGAAATACTTTTTTTCTTTCTCTTCCATTGATCTGAAAATTTTTTTTTTACTCGTGATTTCTGAGATTTGAAACTGTCGAAAAGCCTTATTATTTCTGTTTCTTGTATGTTTTTGCTATGTACTCGTATATAAATTTGATTATCTTCACTCTATGGTACATTGTTTTAAAAACGGAGAGTATTAAAATGGTTAGTATGTTATATATCTATAGACTATTATAAGTGTAATTTTAAAAATTAGTTTATTCTGTACCAGGGTTGGGTTTTTGCCGTCAAAAACTGGTTTTTGACATGACAGTGGTAAAAACCGTCAAAAACCTACTGTTTTCTTTAATTTATGGCATATAGCGGACAATATATTATTTTCACATAATTGGCCTTATAAATGAATGTTGTAAATGATTGCTATTGATTTTGTAACTATATACATGTATTCTTATAGAAGGATATACATTCATACAGTAATATTGTAATATGCTTATTGAAAATAGTGATACTTAATTTTATCATTATAGCTTGTTTTGCAAATGATTCAAAATTTTGCACTTCTTAATTGTTAGAAATAAACAAACAAACAAAAAAGCTTGGAACTATTAATAAATTCAAGAACTAAAAAGAAGAATTTAAAATTTGGCATTTCTTAAATATTAGAAATAAGCTAAACAAAACTTTCAAAACTTGTAACTACTAACTCTAAGTCAAGAATTACTGTTATTTTGACAAGTTAAAAGCTTTTTTTCAGTTGGAAAAGCACATTAAACAAAACTTATTTACAAACAAAATTACATGTTCAGTAGTCGGGGTCACTGTCCCGAAGCATACGATAGCAAGTGACTAATTTTGCGCATTTTTCATTGCCCAGTCGATTTCTGAGTTTAGTATGGATGAGTCCAAAATTCGAGAAGATTCTTTCAATGGAAGACCACCAGTCTAGCTCCAAGGAAGCCTGTCATTGAGGATAATGATAACAAAATGTATTGCAATGTTGCAAGGAAACTCTAAAAGGATTTCCCAGGCTTTTTCATGTCTCATTTCTGCATAAAATGTTGAAAACAAAAATGATACGAAAAGTTTATTTTATGAGGCTTTCTTTTAATGTGTACATGTGTTTCTCAAAGCAAGATTTTATGAATAAAAGTAATCAATCTTGACATTCTTCAGTAATGTAATATGCCAAACAAAATGATGCTTGGAAATGTTGAAAATTTTGTTTAGTATCCTAATATTTTACTTCAAATAGTATGTTTTAATGTAATCATGTTGGGAAAATGCATGAATCTGTTCTTAAATATCTTTTAACAACTTTTTTTCTAATTTTATTGCCCAAAAATGAACTAATTTTAAATTATAAGCAGTTATACTCAAATAAAAATACAGTTTTACCAAAACTATGGGTTTTTGACAGAGGGGTTTTTGACATGACGGTAAAAACCATGGTAATAACCGGTAAAAACCGTCATGTGTCAAAAACTTGCCAACCCTGTTCTGTACTACAGTATGCATGTCATTTTTATTTCAGGTTTCATTAATTTATTGTCGACTAATTGTTATATGGACCCCTGTTATATTTGTCTGTATGATACCTATGCTGATAAAGAGCTATTAGTCCTCTTTTTGTTTAATAATAATGTTATTGTTATTGATTTAGATCAAATTTTGATTTGTGAATTTTCAAAAAATATCTAAATAATCTGTGTAAAGTAGAGTAGTTTCGATAATTCGAGGTAGATGGGACCTCGAACTTTCGAAAACTCCATTTATCGAAAACTTTGAAATTTAAAAAGAGTGGAAGTTGCAGTTTTTTTCCACGTGTTGGTCATTGTATAGGAAGACTCGACTTCATGGGAAGCTCGAACAATCCAGACTCTACTGTATGTGATATTCTACCGCTAATTTGCGGAATTCCGCTACTCTCAAGACCAAAGATTTGCGGATTTCCGCTAATCAATTTATATTCCTACAAAAGTTTTGCAAAGTTTCGCTAATTTAAAATTTAAATTTCTAAACTTTCCAAAATCTCGTTAAGAAGACTTATTTCGCTCTTATCTGTACTGCATTTTTTCCCCTCCTAAGTTCTTATTCTCGTAAGATAACAACTTATTTTACACAGATTTGTTAGAAAATAACGCAATTTCAGGCAAAATTCAGGAACACAAGACAAAAAAAAAAAAAAAATCGGCTGGAATTAATGAACTACTGAGGAGAACACAAAAGTATAAAATTGATCATTTAAAAAATAATTCCAAAAGATCGTTTGCTAGAAAAAAACGAGGCTTTTTTTCTCAATTTTTAATTTTAATGAGTTGCAATTTTTATGCAAATTCCGAATTGCAGCGGAAGAATTATTTAATCAATGTGATATATTTGCCTTCTTTTTTATTTGGCTATATTGAATTACCTAATTTTTTATATGGTATTAAAAAATGGAAATTACGTATTGTGCATTTCATAAATCAATTCTCAACACGCTTGCCATTATTGTAAATTTTCTTTTCGATCATTTTTTGTCTTTTGTAGTTAATTCAATGCATTCTCTTATGATTTTTAAAATTCCGATATCATTATGGACTCAAAATTGAAATCACGCATTTCAGTGATCACTTTTTATTGGCTCTTTTTTTCGTAGATACCATCGTAAATCCACACAGTGTTTCGATCTTTTATCTGCTACCAATATTATGAGTTTTCTCAATGTTTTTCTTTTTAAATCCCTGTATTGTTTATTAATTATTATTAACGCAAAATTCAATTTGCAACAATGTCTTGATTTTGCGATAGACTTTTTCACTGATATCCACATGTTTTTTTAAAATCTCGATAATTTGATATAATATTATTGAGAAACAAGGAATTCGAATAGGACACTTGAATAATTACTTTTTAACACTCTCGATGTGGGGAAAATCTATGCAGCATTTCGATCAGGATTTTTTGGCAGTTATTGCTGTTTTGAAATTGTTATTTTTGCATTTTTTGTTATTTTTGAAAATCCCAAAAATCTTATAATACGAAAAAATCAAATTACAAGCTGGAGTATTCACTATTTCAGGCACTAATTTTATAGTTTTTTCAATCAGTGTTTTCGCAATTATCACCATTGATATAGGATGAATCTCCACATGTAGGTTTAATTAAGTCCTTTATAACCTATAAAGTGCTAAAAAGGAGGAAATGTGTAATTTTTTTTTCAATACGTATATTCTTTTATGTGTTGATGAGAAAAAATTTATTATCAGACAAAAAAAATTTCTTGCTCTCTTTAAATTTTATAAATGTTACTTTTGTGCATAAAAATGACAATCTTTTATTTATTTTCTATGTACAAAAAAATAAAAAAATAGGCATTAAAATTTTTTTGTAAATTCATCATTGTTTGAATTTTTCTATATTGAATATTTATTTTACATTTTTCTATGAGAAAAAAATACTATTTATTGTAAGATCATATAGAGACATGTATCGAAAACTGTTATTTACCAGTTTAAAAATGAAATTCTGAAATTTTATTCTGGGGATATTTCCATATTTCTAACTGTTCCTACCAACTGCCAAAGCTCGAAAAAGTTTTTAATCTTGCAAAAATTTAAAAAATAAATAAATTTTGATTTGTCCAGGGTTTGAATGAAAGTTATATCCTTCAAGTTAGTCCCCTTATATGACGTTTTTTATTTTTTATACATCTTTCTCGCCTGCCACTGTCTTTAATTTGCCAAATCTTGTGGATTATATTGACTCAGATACCATAACGGTTATCTTTCCATTATGTTTTCTTAGTAGTTTGCAATTCTCCCATCAATATGCTAAAGAAGAAGATACCGAAGGAAAAGTAAACCGAAAAATGTAGCAGATCCATTTTGGAAAACTGTGCATAATCTATTACTATGGTGATACAAATTGTACGCAAAATCTACTAATGTTATTTTTATTTGCAATGAAAAAGAAAAGGAGCCTTCCTCTGCTCTGAATTGGTTCAAACTTAGTTTGTGTGTCCTAGAAACTTCTTATTTAATACTCTGTCCACTACAATTTCCATCGAATAATGCCTTCTTTTCAGCAATTTAAAGTAATTAAGTGTTCATAAAAAGAATATGAGGTTAATAATTAATATTTTTAAAACTAAATCTTTTCTTTCTAATTTTTTAATATTTTACTTTCTCTAGTACTTTGAAGATTCAGAAATTGACTGTACTCCATATAATGTACCGACCTTAAAGTGTGAAGGTATGCAATCTCAGTGTTTAGATATTATATTTGAATGAATTATTTATCAATTTATTAGTGTCACAGAAGTATGTTTTAAAACATTTTTCAGATACTGACTGTGACAAGCCATTGAATTCAGATGATTTATTCATAGACACACCGTTGGATTCAGCTGATTTGTCCATAGATTGTGAAGGTATGAAATCAAAGTATGCTGAAATTAAATTTCCATTATTCATCCAGTAACTTATAGTAATTTAAACTATTATTGATCTGTGTTGTGCATAGTAGACCAATTTTCACACATATACAGTAGGGAATCGATTATCCGGAACGATCGGGACCATCGCTATTCCGGATAACTGATTTTTCCGGTTTTCTGAATCGCTACAAAGAGCCGTTTTTTTTTTTAATTGTTAAACCAAACTAAAAAAGAAAAAATTTGGAAACAATCTTAAAAAGAAGAAAAAACAATGAAGTAATACACTAATGATTATTTCCAAAATGATGGTAAGGTAAACATATTTCAAAAAAAAAAAAGAAAAATCCTAAAATTTTATGAGGAAAAAAACATTTTTTTAAAAATATGGCGGAAAAATTTATTGAATTTCGTTTTGGTTTTCTGGTTCTCTGATTTCCGGATAACGGGTTCTGTACTGCATATACACTTATTTATTTCCATTATAATCATTCTTGTTAATTTTCAATATTTGATTTGTAACTCGAGAAAAATAAACTTTTTAGTGAATATCAAATTACACTGTTCAAGGGTTTTACAATGGAATTGATCTTATTAATAAAGTACATTTTTTTTTCTCCACTTATTGCTTTTTTTTTATTTATTATTATTATTTTTTTTAGTAAACTTTATTTTAGAATTTTAATTTTAGGTGATCAGGACTGTATGGAACTTAGAAAAAAAAGGAATTCAATTGATTGTGAAAGCTTTGATATTTTGTTTTCTGCAAAATATGATTTAATGAGGTAATGATTTTTTTAATTGTGTTAATTAAACTGTGGCAGGATTTGAAAATTATATTGCTCAAAATTATAAAATATTGATCCCTAATTTTGACGAAAATCAACAGGATGTTGGATTTAACAGATGAATGGTATCAAAGGAAAAAAGTAAATAAATAAAATTGGTTATGTTTGATAAGTGATCATGATTGAGCATTGCAAAATAACTCCATTGAAACTTATTCAGTCTTAATACTTTTTTGTATAATACTTAATGCTCCTGATTTTTACTGTATCCTTTGTGTGATATGTTTATTTTTAAGATTTGAAAGCAATAAAATGTTCATATTAGGTGAATAGCTTTGAACCTATAAATTTGATCTCCAATTCCATTTAGTAATCGTTAAAAAAAATTTTTTTGATAAAATATTAAAATGCTCAAAATATATATTAAAAAAAAAAAGAAAAATTTTATGACTCTGATATTTTTAACCTATTTTTTAAAACCAATTTTATCTGTGTTATCTTGGTACAAAAATTGGTACAGTAACTTATAGAGTGTTTAAACGTATGTGACTTAAACTTGAATTTAATCATATCTTTCGATAATTACACCTTAATTTTAATAATTTTTTTTCAGAAAATCAATTACTGTTAAATTTAGACCTTTACCTGAGTATGTAGCATGTTATGAATATTATCAAGTTCAACTGCGAAGGAAAGAATTAACTGAAAATAACTGTTTTAATTTGTATCTTTTATGCGTAAAGGATCATGTGAAAAGTGAGGTAAGTATTTCTTCAGTGCAAACAAAATCTATCATTTATTCTACTGCATAAATTTAGCTCTCTCTTTTTTAATTATCAAATAATTAAAAACAGTTTATTACTATAGTTACATTTTTGCCCAAATTAAAAGGCCTCTGTCTCACCATCTTGGATTTTAGGTAAAGTTATTGATTTGCGTTTTCCTCTTTTTTTTTTATTAAATTTTTTTTTGTACTTTTTAAACTTTTAATAATAGAGTATCATTCAATAGCAGTATACATACTTTTCACTCCAAATTGGATAATAGGGCTATCTATCATAGCTTTCCATCTCTCTCTATTTGTACCCAGATAGCTCTCCTAGAAGCCTCTCTCTATGTCTCTCGTATTGCTTTCAATTCGTTTACAGTCGTTCTGAGCCAAGTATTTTTAGGTTTTTCTATTGCCCTGAGGGTTCCAATGAAAAACTTGTTTTACTTTAAATTTTTCTTGTTTACGTAGAACCTGACCAATAAATTTCTCTTTTCAATAGTCTTATACCTTTTAGAAAAAGATTGAAAATTAAGGGGTCGCTTTATTACTTTAGGTAAAATAAGTTTCAATTTTTAGAACTTTTATAAGTTTTTTTCCTCAAAAATGTCAACTTATAAAATGATTTATACGAAATGTTTAATTATGATAGTATTCAATTTTGTGATTTATGGGTTTAAGTAAATAGTTTGAAACTACACAGTAATGCGTTTTTAGATATTTTTAAAATTTAATTTTGTTACAGTTTAAATTTATGAAAACCCATTAATTTAAACTGCTAACAAAATTAAAATTTTAAAAATATCTAAATGATTGACGCTAAAGAGAGTTTTTTCAAAGTAAATTACTCTAAAACCATGGGCATCACCAGGGTCTAATTTTTGAAGGGGATTAAAGTAACAATACTGTTAGTCTAAGATAGGTACTCTGACCGCCACTAACAAGGGAAACTAGGGAAGTGTGACTCGCCAATTTTGAAATAAACTAGTGGGATGTAAGCCTTATAAGGAATAATTTTAGGGGGAAACATTCGTTTCGGCCCATAGAAGGTCCTGTGAGAGATAAAAAAATAATTCAATATATAGAAAAATCGGTATTTTATTACTTCAATGCAGACTATTAGTTATTGTAATCGTCTCATACTCCAATTAACTTATAATAATATAATATAATGCATATTTATTGTCAAAATTGATTTCGAAAATTTTATATATCTGTAGCTTTTCAGAAAAACCTGTTAGGTTAATTTAAAAAAAAAACTGACATCAAATTTTTTTAATTTTTTTTAAAAAACTTTCCGAATTAATTGGAGTATGTAATTGCAAATCAATTAATTAATTAATAATTAATTCGCAATTGATTAATAATTAATTAACAATTAACTCATAATTAGTTAATTTTCTGAAAAATTTATTAATTAGCAAATTAATCGGATTATGAGACAATTACAATAACTAATAGTCTGCATTGAAGTAATAAAAAACGGATTTTTCTATACATTGAGTTATTTTTTATCTCTCACAAGACCTTCTATGGGCCGAAACGAATGTTGCCCTCTAAAATTATTCCTCGTAAGGCATGCATCCCACTAGTTTATTTCATAATTGGCGAGTCACACGTCCCTAGTTTCCCTTGTAAGTCTGCATCAGTCTGGTGCTATGGAAACAAGAAGAGGGCATTCTAGGGAGGGTAGCTTCGATGATAGAGGTCTCTTCTCTCGCCGAAACCAGCCCTAAAGAGGGATCCTGCACCCCTACTGGAAATTATCATACCTCGTTACCATAGTCACCGCCACAGCTCCAGACGAATGTCTGGCAGAGTACCTATCTTGGACAAACAGTAGTTCTCTATCACAAGAAAACAACTTTCTTATGTATGCAAATATTTTATTTATTCTTGTCTTTAACTTTGATGAATTTAAATCAATAATGGTTCATGAAAAATTTTGATTATTTGTGTGTATGATATTATTGGGGACTAGGAGAAATTATTGAGGATGACATATACTTATGGTTAGGGCTGCAGGTTTGTCGAGGCGCGATGATTTCTGTGAAATTGTCATCTTTTTTTTTATAAAATCCGCAAATTTCTCAATATGTCTTGACTTGCCCGAAAATTGCTTAAAATTTAATTTTTTTTTTCATTTTTTATTTATTATTTTTATTAAACAGAATTTTTTTATTTTCCTGAACCTTAAATTTAGCATGTAAAATTGATTAGATATTTAGGGGAGTGAATCAATAGCAAAATGACATGAAAATAGTTCAGAGATAAGAGATAATCACAATCTTGTCAACTAAGGTGGTTTACACTTAGGGAGGGTAATTACCTTCCTGAAGTCAGTAAGAGTACAAAAGAAATTGGAATCACAAAAGAAGGAAAATGTTATAAATCAAATCTTTGACAGAAAAATTGTTATACATGCTATTGCACTGGGCAATGAAATTTCTTCTGCCTTTCTACATATCCAGTTAATTTTTCCTAGGCGGTTTCTTGTGATTTCTTAAATATGGATCAGTTTCTTAGATGAAGGGGGGGGGACTAGTAGTTAGTAGGGACTTGTAACTAGTAGTTTGAATGTAGAATGTTTGAGTTTTCACAGCAATTACTTCTTACAAAGCAACGGTCAAGGAATTGCGCATTGGTGAAGGAAAATTGATAGAGTTTTGGAAATCAAAGACCGAACGCTCCAAAATTGGCAAAAGTGGCAATTCGAAGTTTGTCGGTGCTTAAAAACAGCGTTGACACAGAAAGATCGTTTTCTAAGTATAAAAGTCTATTAAGTGATGAAAGATGAAGGATAAATGAGAATAATCTCACAATGTACAATGCTTTGTACCAAAATTCTGTTCATTTAAATAACAATGTTAATATTGCTTGAAATTCAAAGAAATACTATTGTTGTGTAGTTTTAAGCTTTCTTCATTATTTGCGCAATTTCTGTCTTTTGCATCATTTATGTAATAAATTTTTTTATGTTTAGAATTTGTGTAATTTTCAAAATTTCCTGCGATTTTTCCGCGAATTTGGGGTCTTTTTTCCCCGCGACAAACTTGCAGCCCTACTTATTGTCCTCCCCACTAACAACCTCTATGACTAGAGCAAAGACATTTGTCACTTATGTAAAAACCAACAGGTATATAATGCAAAACTATCTTTTAAAAAGTGTTGATTGCTGAATTCCATTGGTATAATTTTACAAGAAAAAATGAATAAAGTATATGAAATACCACACACTTTGTATCTCAAATTGTGATTGAGTATTGGCCTCATATTTTGCATGGTTCAAAAGATATAGTTGAATGGAGTAAATATCCACCATTACTTTATTTGTAAGAATTAAATAGAAAGGATTTAAAGATACTTAAAATTTTTCCAGCCCGTCTCCACCCCTTCAACAGTTGAATTCGGTTGGGTAGAGAATGGATTCTTACAATAATTTTGTTTAAGACGAAAAAATTTTCTTGGATCGAAAGGGAAATGATAACACAGAATTCTTAATTAAATGCATAATTTATCAATAAGTAATGTTGTACTAAATAATTAGTGAAATAAATATTTTATCTAGATTTTACAACTTCAATAAACACTTAGTGGACCAAAATTATAACCTGCTACGCAACTATAAAAAATGTGTCATACACAATGTACCCTAAAGCTACTACACATATTTTTCAGAATGTACCAATTGAGCGTATTTATCTGAGGAACGGCAGTTCTTTTTAATTTTGAAATACTCTAAATGCCACATGATTATTGAAATCCTGGTTTTATTAATATAATAATATTGTGCCATGTAAATTTTAAAATAAGTGTTTGAGTCTTTTTTTTTTTTTTTAGCATTTATTTGTAGTTTTTTTTTTTTTAAAATCCATTTAATGATTTTTTTTAAAATTCACATGCTGATTTTCTAATAGCAATGATTTTTTTTTTTTAACTTCACAAAAAATTTTCTGGTTGCAAATATTTTTTATTTCTTTCATTTTTTCATTGATTAGACTTTTTTAAATGCTGGTAAAGGTGTTTGCTTTGTAATAACAATGCTTCATTAAGGAAGCATAAAAACATATCAAGCATCAGATCTGTAAAATTTTGGTTGTGTTTTGTTGATGACAACAATTTTCAACAAGCTGGCACTAAAATTAAGTATGTCATTATTATAAGATAATTTTAAAATTAACCATTTTTATATTATAATAGGTTTATTTTATAAGTGTTAATAAATTTCGTATTAATTTTCTTTACTATGTATTAATGAAGTTAGTAATTAGTTTCTTTTTTTTTATGTGGGTGATTTCGTTAATTTAGATTTATTTTATTTACTATTTCATTTGCTTTTGATCTTATTCATTAATTTGTTGTGTTTTTTTTAATCTAAAGAAATTATTATTATTATTTTTTTTTTTAATTTTAACATTCTTGCCATCTTAGATTTTAAATCTTTATTTTACAATTTCAGACTTTGATGGAATTTGTTGACTTGCATGGTGGTTCATATGTTATTGTTGTATGTTTTTTTTTCCATTCATTTTCTTCAGTTTGTTTTCTTTCATAATTTCTTTTATTTTTCAATTTTGCAATTTTTATGCATTTGTCAGATTGTTTGTCATTTTATTGTATATCAGAAGTCAAACAAAAAAAAAATTTTTTTCTGTGGGTTTATCATTATACAATTATTAAATTTATACCTATATCCAGAAAACACAATAAATAATAATTTAGGTAGTAATATTGACATACAATTTAATCAAGGGTAAATTTAAAATTATAAACTTTTGTATTGTTTTTATAATTACTATGTATGTATCAGGAATTCTAGTTATGCGCCATAGCATGCCGAAGACGGTATGCAAATTGCAAAAATAATTTTATGCTTATCCCCAGAGGCATGTAATTTTTCATCATTTTTTTTTTAATTTTTCAAAAATATTTGTAATTTATTAATATTTGGAAGCTTTTAAATTTAAATTTTAGTTTATATTTAAAAATCTAAAGCATGAAATAATTACTCTTCATGTATATTTTAAAATGTTTCTATACTGTTTTAAATTGGGATTCTCTTTAAGTAAAAAACCAGACATTTGAATGTCCTGGCCAAAGAATGTATAGAGATAAAGAAGGCTAGTTTCCGTAGACATAATGTAAACCAGTCCCTCTAAGGTTAGTACAGTCCCTGACATAGAGGAAAAAACAACATTTAGGAGGGCAGAAGCTGTTCTTAAAAACCAACTTACACCCACCTCTTTTCCAACCACTGCTGGGGTTAGGGAGGAGAATGTTTTTTTCTTTTATTTATGGTTGGTCTGTTGCTGCATTTACGCACTATTTATTAATAGTACTATATTTATTAAGTTAATTCTTTGAGATTTAATTTATATCGTCTATGTTCGTGACATCTGTCGTCCTTTTTCAAGATGGAATAAAATAATAAAATGGCGGGAGGAACCTAACCCAACCAGTTTAGGTGACATAGATCCTGACCGTCAATTTGCTTCTCACATGTGTGTGCTGAATCTTGGTACACAATATTTGATTATGTTGCTCTCCTTGTGTAAGTTGTTTTTCTGGTACAGCTTACCACACTGAGCAGTTTCCCTTGTTAGTTATGTATTCGGAGAGCAATATCTTCTCCTTTGTATATTCTTTGACCTGGGTTCTCTAGACGTTTAATTTACAATATTTATTCGAATCACTGTATATAAATATTTTTAAGAATATAATACAAAACATTTTTATCAAAATAATGGCTGTCAACAGTAACTAAATTTTTTAGTTTCATAAAAATTGCTTAAGACCTGTAATTTACAAAAATTTTCAGAATTACTGTATTAAATTTTTTTTTATTGGAATATAATACAAGCATTTTTTTTTAGTCAAAATAATAGTTGTCCAAAGTAATTTAATTATCTGGTTTTGCAAAATTTGTTTACCTTAAGAATAAAATGGTGAATATTATTGAATATCAGAAAATTAAGAATAAAATGTCATTGAGTACAAGCATGTTTTACTATCTATTTCAAAGTGGAATCAGTTATATGTCTCCTTAATACAGTGTGGACCTGAGTATTTTCCATATTGTTACAAAATAATTAATGCAATCAATTAATTTTTGAATTAAAACTGAATAACTTGTATATGAAATTCCTCCCTTATATCATTCTTTACCTGCACTTTATAGCCCACAAAGTTTTTTTAATATGTAATTTACGAAAATTAATGTTTAAAAAAAATTATGGCTTAAAAGTTAGTATTAGTTGAGTGCTTCACATTTTTTTTTTAATTTAAAGTATTCATTTTTAAGGATGTCAATCATTTTTCTTCAAAAAATTCAACCCTGAAGAATGCACTTAAAAAACCAACTTATGAAAATTTTGTGATTTCTATATAGTTTATAATCATACAAATTGTCAGTTAAGAAGCAATTTTTTTAAATTTAAAAAAAAAAGAAAAAGGCTTCAGTCCGAAAATTTAAATCACTGTCTACAGCAAAAATTCACCAATTCTTGTCATTTGGTCACATTAGACATTGCTTTAAAATATATTATTCTTTTAAAAACCTCCGCTTTTTTCATTCAATTTTTTATGTATAAGTTTTTGTGGAATCACTAATTCTAATTGTCTTCTATAATATAAATAAGGAATGTGTAATTAAAGACATTTTATTTTCTTTCAACATTTTTTACAAAAATTAACTTTTTAAGTGATACTTTTTGATTGGTTGAGAAAAATCCTTAAAAAATTGTTTGTCTTATCAAATTAATGATAATTGGGTGTCAATTAATATGTTTTTGCATAAAAAAATTATTGATGTCATACATATTATTACCCTGAATTTCTTTGTAATTTAAGGGCTCAAAAAGTAAGTTGTAAAAGCAAAAATGTAATTAATAGTATTTTATTTTTATTTAATATTCCTTCAACAATTAACATTTTAAGTGATACTTATTGATTGGTTGCTGATAGATAAATAATCGTATGATTTTTTTAGATCAAGTAAATTTTTATCATCTCATTTAATATGTTTTAAGGAAGAATCAGAATTTAAATATATTGGTATTTTACGAGTTAACCACCAACTTCCATTGTATTTCAAGGGTTTAAAAAGTTAACTTAAATTTTAATAAATTTTAAATGATATACTAGCTTGGAAAACAACTCCAAATAATTCTTTTACAATAAATGTTTTAATTATATAAACCTTAAGGGATACTTTAAAGAGTGATCCAGTTTGCTGTTATGTTTGTAAATCTGAGTTACAAATTTTTCTTCACTCTGAATATTTTTACTTAGTTAACTAACAATGCTTGTTTATTTTGAATGTTGTACAGATTATGCATTTATCTCTTTAGGTTTCCCCTAACGAAGAATGGCCACGTCCTCCACACGAAAAAATATTTTGCTCTGAGGAATTAAATATTATGGCTAATTCTTCTAGTATTGTGAATGATACAGATAGTAAATATAATTTTAGAAATATTCTGTTTTATCAGTCTATATATAATAGTTGTCAACAAAATATTAGTTTGTCTCAGGGCTCGAAAAAACTCAGAAATTTTACCCGTCCCCGAGGACGGCTTGTCCAACAATGTACTCGTCCTCCTTTGAAACTAACCCGAAGCTTCTAAATAAATGAAAATATAATTTTCTCTTATTTATTACTAACATTTATATAAATTGCTCACTGAATTAGTAGTTACTAGGATTACATTATACAGTAAAAGAAATACTAGGTTACTAATAGTAAAACCTAGTATTTCTTTTATGAAATAATTTAAATGACCAAGTTCAAGTTATCTGGAATGTCAATTTATCCGAGGGTATTGCGTTTTCTAAATGAATCAAATATGATGTTTGCCAGTTCCACAATCAAGCCAATGATTAACAGAGGTTTCTGCACAGAAATCTGAATGGGGTTTTCCATTTAGGTAGATGCTCATAATTGCGTTTAACGCTTCTTGTTTAAGACCAGTACGTAATGTGTTTTTTTTAAAGTTCATTGCTGAAAAACCTCTTTCAACCGCTGCAATACTCCCAGACAGGGAAAACATCAATTCCACCATGATCAGTATGTTGCTGTGTTTCTAGATTAGAGGGTCATTTTAGAAGTGAGGTGCTAAACTCTTGTTAAGATAACAAAAATTGAAAATGTATCACGAACATTAACGGGAAAATGGCCGTCCGCGCGGGCGTTGGATTCAAGAAATTTGTTGTCCGCGGAGAATTTTTGTCCGCCGAGGACGGGCGGTTTTTCGAGCTCTGGTTTGAGTTATATAATTTTAAAATATGTTCTGATAATAGTTATTTCAAAATATGCATAGAACATGCTTTGAGCATATGTACTTGATGTAATTTTATTTATTCTTTCCAAAATTTTCCATAATATATTAAGTAAAGCATAAAATATTATGTGACATTAAATATTGTGCAATTGACATTATTATAGATAATTATAATTCTAGAAATATTTATTTTTATCAATTTATGTATTACAGTTGTCAACAAAATATTAGCTTGACTTGTATAATTTTATTTATAAATGTTTTTATAATAAGTATTTCAAAGTATTTATTTGAAATGAAGTAGAACATGCTGAGTTGACTTCTTGTTCTTCAAAATGTTCTTATTGTGTTGTTATGTTAAGTATTTTAATTTTTCTCACAATTTATTTATTTTTTTATTGTTGCTTTTCACCTCTTTCCTGTAAAATTTTTCTGTTGCCAATTCAGATTATCTTTAAAAAAATTCAGTTAAATTAAGTCAAATTGAATTTGCCTGCTTCAGAAAGACTAACGTTCTTTTCAGTTTAAAATTATGGTGTGCAATTATATTAAAGGTAAGGTTCTGAACTCTTAAACTAAAATGATTAAATATAAGAAGTAGGTGTAAGAGCTAAGCTTAAAATGAAAAATATTTTAGAAAAATTGAATTTATAATTGATTATTTTTTTTATAATTTAATGGAAAAGAGAAATCTAACAAACAAAATTTTTCAGAAGTCTTATTTTTTTTCTGTTAATGAAAATGATTGTATAGATGATATCAGAAATTAGTAAAGTAAGTAAGTTTGATTTCTTAAGCTTACAATTCAAAATGTTGCTCTGTTAGTAGCCAATATATGGTTTTTGCTGATATTTTAGGTTTAAATGCTAAAAATAAATGTGTTAAACTGTTTAAAACTTCTTTTTTTAGCAAATGAAAAGAAAAAAGAGATTTCTATTATGAAAATACAGTTACTGTTAATACCCTCAACAATACTTCTTTTTATAATCACCATTGTTATGCTTAAAAAATATAAGCCAAGTAAGTAGTAAAAATAATTTTTTCAAAGTAATGCATTATTTTAGAGTTTTATGTCTTTTCTGTTTATATTTTTTTATAAATTGTTCTTATATTCTCATAGGTATTTTCTCAAGTGCCAATCGTCTAACCAGTCTAATATTCCAACCAGGTATATTTAATTTTTAGTGCATTTTCGCCTATATCTTTTTAATATGTATAGCAATATAGCAACAAAAATTGTTTATGAACATGTTTTCTTAGTTTGTAAGTAAAGGTTTTATAAACCTTTAAAGCAACTTTAGTGTGTAAGATTAGTTTTTGTCTTGTAAGGAAAGCACCCTAAGTGTTTGGCAAGTTTTCCAATTGTATACGGAAATTTTGTGTGATAGTAAGGCTAAGGAATCGGTCCTCTGTGACCTGTCCGCTCATAACAAGGTATCCCTGCATTGGGTACCAGGACATATGGGTATCTGTGGAAATGAGCTAGCTTACAAAGCAGCACGGGCTGGCTCTAATGCAATTTTCTGGGGCCCTGAACCTGCGCTGGGAATTTCTCTCTCCTCATTTAGGGCAACCATATTCAAGCTCTACGGCAAGATCGCCCATGAGCAATGGCTCGCTGCTGACGGTCAGAGACAAGCTAAGGGGCTGAATCGAGACTGTCCTAGTGTACGTCAAAAGGAACTCTTAAAGCTTAGTAGAAACAGTATAAGGAAGATCATAGGTCTTCTTACTGGTCACTGTATCCTCAGGAGACACCTAAACATTATGGGAATAGAATCCAATTCTCTTTGTCGGGGATGTCATCTAGAAGAAGAGACATCACGACACATACTCTGTGATTGTGAGGTCTATTCTGCTCAAAGATTTGAGCATTTAGGGCAGCATATCGTCAATGCCTGGGAACTGCTAGATGTTCCTGTAAGGTGCTTGCTGAATTTTATTTCAGCCATAGGGCTTTCATGCTAATCATGATTTTAGGTTTTGGGTACAATAGACCTCTGGTCGATGTGCCCTGCTCGTTAGAGCTGCCCAATCTCTAAGTCTAAGGCTAAGGAATAATTTGTAAAAATATTTTTTGTTGCTAATTTTGAACTATAGTTATTAAACTAAGGGTTGCTTGAAATGGCAATTATTACTCACAGAGCCTTAGTGGCTCAGGAGATACAGACCTAGGTTGGAATCCCAGACATGGCAGGTCGATACTAATTCTGTATCCTGTTCGCACTGACCACAGTGCTAACATAAAATATCCTTGGTGGTAAATGGATCATGGAGAAATAGTTCCCTTGCCGTCAGGCTAATCGTCGGAGGTTTCCCCAGTTTCTCTCTCAGTTTAATGCAAGTATTTCATCAAAAAGTCCTCAACAAAGACAAATTTCTCTCAATACCACATCCAGGAGTTCCTGTGTTTTCTGGGTGGATTCGGTTCAAAATTACAAGGCTACAGTACTTTCCTCTTTTCTGATTTGTAAAGAACTTTGCAAAAAATAAAAAATCTTCACTAAATATATTTTACCCATTTTAAAAATATGAGAAGCCCAATTGATTGTTTTGATTTTGATGCTCTTAAACAGGGTGCGTAGCGTTTTTAAAAAGTGCTTAAAGGTGCTTATTTTCAATTTTCGTTTTTTTAAAAGCCTTTAAAGTGCTTTTTTCATTAGGTGTTTTTAAAAAGTGCTTAATTTTTCCTTTTTTAAAATGAGATTCTTCCTTTACCATGTTGATTTTTGCTATGAATCATGCAAAATGACACAGTTCACATTGTTCTATTCAACGTTTTCTCAATAAATTCAACCCCAATCTATTTCGGCGTATTTTCAGTTCATAGCGTATGAAAACGCCATTCGTTTTGCATGATTCAAAATTTCATAATTTTTGACAATTTTCAAAAACAATGTCAAAAGGTTTTTTTTCTTTTCTTTCACATGATGGTTAAAAGAAGATAAAACGGTCAATTGTCAAAAACTTTCCAACCCTGCCTAATTATGATTTTTTTTAAGTGCTTAAAAATATTTCTTGAGTGCTTGAAAAGTGCTTATTTTTTGTTAAATAATTTGGCTACACACCCTGTTAAAAGAGCATCAAAATCAAAACAATTTCATTATTGAGCTCTTTGAAAATTCTATCAGTTTTTGAGTATCTTTGCGAAAGGCCATTTTCTTTGGCACGAAAAATGTTTCTTAGAAGAGATCTTATTACTAAATGTTAATGTGTAAATGATTTTTGTGATAATAAAGAAAGTTAAGCATATCCTCCACAACCAGTTTTATTTTATAACCGTCGTTGAACAGCCGACCCAATTTCATTGGTTTACGACTACTAATGTTCAACTTCGTGGCCTTGTAATTTTGAACCCAATCCAGAAGACAAGGGAACTCCTGGATCGAGTATTGGGAGAAATTTACCTTCTCGGAGGACTTTTTGATGGAGCTAACCCGCATTTACGTTACATGGAGAGGAAGACCATAAGCCTGACGGCAAGGGGACTCTAACCCATGATCTGTCTACCACTGAGGATATTTCATGTCAGCACTGTGATCGGTGCAAGCCAGATGCAGAATTCTCATTGACTGAGTTTCGAACCTGGTTCGCCACATTGGAAGGCGAATGCTCTATCCCCTGAGCCATCGCGGCTCACAACAACCAGTTGTCGTAAAAGGAGGTCATAGTTGTTAAGGTTTCATAATCTGAAATCCTTAAACAATGATGATAGCAATTTGTCCTCAACATTGCACGCTGACCATCTTTTCTTCCCAAAAACCGGAGCCCATGGACCTACAGCTAGATAGGATCAAACGTAAGCCACCACCTTCATAATTAGATCTCAGTACTCTGACCTACAATTACTTTTGCTTGCCAGTCACACTGGTTTTTATTAATCTGGAACTAGATAGGATAGGTCTTAAACCATCATCTTAACAATTATATCTGTATTTTAACCAACATTATGATGGTAGCACTTTGCCTAACATTGCACAGTATCCTTCTTTACTTCCCAGACAAACTGGTACATACCGACCTGAAGCTAAGTAGGATGAAACTTAAGCTTCCACCCTCACAATATCTCAGTACTTTTGACTGAAGTTATGGTGGTTGCAATTTGCCGAGCATTGCACACTGACCACCTCTAATTCTCAGACACATTGGTACTCATTAGTCTGAAGCTAGGTAGGATCAATGTTAAGCTTCACCCTTCATAATTATATTTCAGTATTTTAAACAACAGTGTGATGGTAATGATTTGTCCAACATTGCTCACCTTTACTGCCCAGACAAACTTGTACTCATTAATTTAGAGCTAGATAGGATTAATCTTTAGCCATCACATTCACAATTATATCAGTACTTTAACCTATGGTATGATGGTGGTGATTTGTCCAACATTGCACACTGGCCGCCTTTACATCCCAAGTACACTGGTACCAAATCTGGAGCTGGATAGGATCAATTTGAAGCCATCGCCTTCACAATTGTATTAGTGCTTTAACCGACATTATGATAGTGGCACTTTGCCTAACCTTAAACAGTGGCCACCTATACTTCCCAGCAAACTGGTACATACTGATATGAAGGTAGGTGGGATTGAGCTTAAGCTTCCACCTTCACAATATCTCAGTACTTTAACTAAAGGTATGGTGGTGGCAATTTGCCAAACATTGCACACTCGCAACCTTTACTTCTCAGACACACTGGTACACATAAGTCTGAAGCTAGGTAAGATCAAACTTAAGCTGTCACATTCATAATTAAATCTCAGCACTTTGAAACCTGATAGTTGCTATTTGCTCAACATTGCAACCTGGCCAATGGGTACCAGACAAACTGGTACCATCAATCTGATATTAGGTAGACTTACAGGGCCTTTGATGATAGAACAAGGTCCTTCGCAATTATATCTCAGTATTTTAACTACTGTGCTATCAAGATGCTATAATATTGTTTACTTCCTAGGTGATAATTCGGAGGAAAGATGTCATATTTTATTTGACAACATAGAACTTTTAATACTGCATTCTTCTGATGCTGGCATCCAAAGTAAAATTCTATTGTTAAAAGATTTCCTTGAAAAATATGCTTCCTTCAAAGTTATTACCATGATGGATGTAATGTTCTACAACAACATTGACTCTCTTTGGTTTAAGACTCAGTTTTTTTACAAATGCAAAAGCCTTGGTGACCCCATTAATTCAAGTAAGAGAATTCTTCTTGTGGAACCTGGCAAGGCCTTGTCTCAAGTAAATAAAAATCAAGTAAGTTTACTAAATTTTTTGTTTTGTTTTTTCAAAATCATTAAAATTTGTTTTTTCAATTGTTAACTGTTAAATGAAGTGTTTAGAGCTAAAGTGTTTCAAGTCCAGAAATAAAATTAAATGTTTGTTTGTTATAGTTTTATGTATTATTTTTCGTAATATAAATTTTCAAATTTATGCTCAGATCACAGCCTTATGCTAAGTGTTTGTAAATAACTATAGATAAGGTCGCATAAATTCTGCAAAAAAAAGTAAAAAAAAAGGCATATTTTACTAGTTTCCTCATACAAGTCTCTGAATGTCCACCAGCAAAATGTCTTCATTTACCAGATAAATTTGTCTAAATGTTTTTTTTCTATATTTCTGCTTAATAAAGTCCAATAATTTCTGTGATGTTGAAAATATATTATAAGGCAGCTAAGTTAAAATCTTAATTGTAATAATTGGAAAATTTTAAATAAAGCAAAAAAAAAATATTATTTTTTTTTCCAAATAAATTTTTTTCTGTTTTAGTTGTTTGTTTTATAAGTCATCTGCAGCCTGCCTGCACAATTCAAAAAGATTTGTCGCACAATTTTGAAACTATTTCCTAAGACACTAGCTTAAGATTCATGTAGTACAATATACTCTCGATATTTAAAAACTGAAGGGTTGCTAAAAAAATTTTGAGACAGAGAGTTTTCGAGATGCAAGTTCAGAACTAAATAAGTTCTAAAAAGTAGAAAAATATACTCTAAAATAGTACTCTAAAAATTAGAATCGTGAAACATAAGAATAACTACTAATAATTATGTATGTAATGATAGTTGAGTATAGGTCTAAATACAGCAATGATATTCTTTAAAAGTAAGACAATAATTATGCATCAAATAGAAAAGAATTGGCTAACAATAAACTTACATTATGATTTTTTTCGAAAATATTCAACATAGCAAAGTTATCTGAAAAAATTGTTTGACATAGGAAATCAAATTAATATATATAATGCCAGGTGAAAAAATACTTTTTTGACATAGCGCAGTTTTTGAGGTATAAACGTTCAAGATGTTGAGAGTATATAGGTCTTAACTTTTAGCTTGATTGACTCAAAACTATAATTTATGAACTAAATCTACTTAAGCTCTGGACGATTCTTATGTATAAGTTATCTTCATAAAGTTTGTTCTTGGTTTAGATATTAAATAAACCAAATTAACTCAACTGTACAGTTTAAAAAAAAAAATGAAACGATTAATTTATTTGAGAATTTTTACTACCTTAGTATAAGAAAAATGATACATTGATAATAATCTTTGTTTCATATTGTGAAATAAATACTTCATTAAATTAATTTCTTTCATTTACTTAAATATTAATTCTTAAAACTTAAGTTGTTTACTGTGTTATATACAGTAAAAGCTAAAGTTTAAACTATCTGTATAGATATAATCATCAATTCCAGGATACACTAATAAAAAAAAATCCTCTGAAATTTGGATAAAAAATTCAATTAAAAATTTCATTTTGAGATTAAATCGAAGTATTTTTATATAAAATATTAAGATATAATTCACATAAAATTAAGAGAACATATAACACACAAGCTCACATATACATATCCGATAATCCTATTTTATTGCTTAATTGAACGCACACAGTTTTTTGTTTGAAAATTAATTCATATCATTCTTTTTTATTTTTACAAATAATAAATTCATTTAGTCGTTAAAAATAAAATTAACACCAAACAATTTCAAATTGCATTAATTTTCAAAATCTATTGAGCAAACAGTTATATTTTATTTTTAAAAAAAGGGGGGTAGACTAAAGATCATAAAATAATGAATGACACATCGAAACATAGCTTTAAAAAATCATTATTTAAATTTTTTTCATCTTTGATTTAAAAGTAGATTAAGATAAGATGAGAAAAAAAATTTCCAAAGGGATGCTCTATTTAAAAAAAAAAATTCCCCCTCTGTTTATAAAATTAACAAGATGTAACACACTAAATTGAAAAGAATGAATGCTAGACTGAAATAAAAATATACAAGAGCCCACATGATCATTCTCCAAGGTGACTCCTTCCCCTGTTTTTATCGGGTCGCATTCATTTCATCGACAATCACTTCATCGACACACCATTTCATCGACACCTCTTCATCGACAGGCCGTTTCATCGACTAGGTCATTTCGTCGACAGGCCGTTTTCTCGACAGGGTTGTTTCGTCGACAGGCCATTTCGTCNGCCCACATGATCATTCTCCAAGGTGACTCCTTTCCTTGTTTTTATCTTGCATTCACTCTTTGAGATTATTGGCTTGAAACTTAAAGCAATGTCTTCTGCCTCCTTACCCCTTGTCAAATGATTTCCTCCTGAGTCATAAAGCTCTAGAGAAGAAATCCTTCTTGAAAAATGCAGAACTTATTCTATTCAATTTCAAACAAGTGGTTTTTCAACTGCACATTTTTCTTTCTATCTTTAGTGAAACTTTTAGAAATAGAATTTTAATTATAAGGAAAATTAAAACTAATAATATATAATTTACAAAAAAAGAACTGATAAATATATTTTTCAAACAGACAATAATTTAAAAAAAGGAATAAGTTAATAATTTAGAGATCGTTAAATCTAGTTCTCGTATGATGCTCCCCTAACTTGGCAGTCCAAATGATCGCTTGCCCTTCTGCAGGCCTTCATGCCCTCAGTATCACCACTTCAATTAATATTTTCCTATCTTTTGAATAATTTTAAAATATTACTAAATACTCTTTTTGGCACCTCGGTGGCTCAGGGGATAGAGCATTTGCCTCCGAATGGGATGTCCTAGTTTTGAATCCCAGCTGTAGCAGCCCCAGCGGGGATGTAAAATATATTTAGTGGTAGATGAATCATTGGTTAAAATCCACTTCCTGTTAACCGCCTATGGTTGGTGTTTTTTCTCTCCATGTAATGCAAGTTCAGGTTGGTTTCATCAAAAAATCCTCCATGAAGTCTCAGTGAATATATGAATCCAGGAATCTCATGAATCCAGGAGTTCCCTTGTCTTCTGAATTGGGTTGAAAATTGTAGGGCTGCAGAGTTGAACATTAATAGTCGTAAACTCAGAATTTAGTCAGCTGTTCAAGGTCAGTTATAATATGAAATAAAATACTATTTTTTAATTAAATATTTGAAAGTTTAAAACATACACTTAGTGTTCCAGGATGTTTTTAAGTTTTCATATTTCAATTTGCATTTAATATTTTCATTTAAAATTTTTACTTTATTTTAGAATATTCTAGATGATATTTATTGCGAGGGCTTGCATATTCTCCTCAGTGCTTGGTCAAGATGTTTAAAGGATTACTGCCACTTGTTTGTTTTGGAATTTAATAATAATTATGCGGAACGCCAGTTTGCCCAAGAGTTCGTTCCTGGGGTTCGTTACTTGATTCCAAGAGATTTAGTTAAACTTTGTCTCAATTTAAGTTCTTGTGGAGAATCTAATAATGAATCTCTTCAACAAAAGTTAACCACAAGTTTAAGATCTCACAAATTAATGGAACATTGTTAAAAAATATGTTGAACAGTCTCATGTTATTTGTTAAGATCTGAGGTCAATTTATATGGCTGATATGTTCTACACTTTTAGGGGCAATCAGATTTTTACTCCGTATACACATTTTTTTCTATTCTTGAAGATTGAAATTACCTAAAAAAAAATTTAAATTTTTTTTTTTTGTATATTTACCTCTGTTCTATTTAAAGAAATTCTCACAATTTGTTATCATCCTAATACTTATTAATTGCTAGCAAAATACCCATTCTTTATTAGGGGAGGAAAAAAATCGTAAATACAGGTTGTGTCACAATTCCCTCCAGGTTTTTTTCCACAAATATTCAATGTGTGAACTTTGTCTGATGCTGCAGACTTCAAGTCTGAAGTTAAATTTTTGCCACACTCTCTGCAACATGTCCCAATCAATGGTAGCAAATGTGGTTGTGATCTTTGATTTAACCCCTTAAAAGAAATGTACTAATTAATAAAATCACATCATTTTTTATAAACCATCCAAAACCCAGAGACAAATGTGACACACCCTGTATTTTTATTTTTAAGAATTGCTTAACAATGGAACTGACATTGCTCAAAGACTTGTAGTTGAGATTCTACTGATCAGATCATACTGAAACTTCAAATATATGTTAGGTATATCATGTGGCCTAGGTTTCGATCAAAAACAAAGTCGTGGTAACTTGTGACTCTATGACAATGTAAAGAGAAAGATAACAGTTTAGAAACGGAGAAGAGCAAAATATTTTATTTGCTCACATACCTGTGTGCATGCAGATGTCTTTTCGATCAATATTATTCTGAAACCCTTCGACCACATTGACACAGCTGTCAAGTTAACTTCATTAGTTGTCATTTGTATATCAAATGCAATACATATGAGTTTCACATGTGATGGCCACAACATAATTTTTACATAAAATTGAAATGGGCTATTCACCTGCATAGACAGCGTAGTGCCATTCCTTGAAAAAATTTCAGCCTTTTTCTTGAACATATAGCATATAATTAAAGTTACATTCAAATATGTTTAAAAGAACCAAGATTATGAACCAAGGGCCTAAGGGTTTATACAGCTTATATACAGAGTCAGTTGGATTTGATGATTCATCCAGTTTCAATGGACTGTTTATTTACAAGTATATGATGCACAAAAAACCGTTTATACTTGGAAAGATGTATACACTTACCAAGTTTCTGGTATATACAGCAAATGTTCATTGTGTGTATGCTTAGTCACCCAATACCCATCCCAGTGGTAAACCACTTCACCAGTAAACCAGTTTGCATATATTCAATAGCTATTTTCTATGAATGTCTGTCACAGCTGCAGTGATGTGCTCTTGTTGAATTGCTGTTGCTTTGGGAAAGCATTGAATATTTGTAGCGTGTACCTGACACTTATGTATTTTTTCTTGTGCATCATATACAAAAAACAAACAATTCTTTGAAATTATTTAAATCATTTAGGCTAACGTATTATTATAACTGAAGATTATGTACTTATGTTCATGCCTGTAATTTAAGTATGTACTACTGTAATATTTTTTGTCAAAGGCATAATAAGAACATTATGCTGTATAATGGTTCCTTGATGATTAATTTCAATAGTATTATGTTTAATATCATTTTAAAGGATCTTATAATTATAACGTACTCTATAAAGAATACGCACATTTGTCTTATTGTGAATTAGATTAATCGTCTAATTAAAATTTTTTTTTAGTGTTTTTAACTATATATTCAATTTCTAGTCTTTTTGTATTCTTCGTATGTATTCAATTTCTAGTTATCATTATGTATATTATTATTCTAATGATTAAGAGTTTATCTTGGTAAATTTTATAGTGTATTGAAAATAATATATATTCAAAGTGTACCTGACGTAATTTAATTAAATTTTAAATCAATTAGTACATTTATACGTAGTTTAAATTTTTGCATTTTAAAATTGGAAATATAAAATGTTAAGCTTAAAAATGATTATGTGTTTAATTTTTTACTTTGACTGAATTTTAATGCCAGATATGTTGGTTAGAAAATTTAAATTTTGCTTCTTACTATTAAATTTCACTTATTACATTTAAATTCAATATATCTTCATCATGTTATCAGCGTTGAATGTAATAATCTATTTTTATGAATAGAAAGACTTGTTAGAATATTCATTATCATTTTTTAAAAATGTTCCTGTCTAGATAAGCTATATTATATGTTATTTTTATTATCATAAACACATGCTTATTCTATTTTTCATACTTGAAAATATACGAGAAGTTTTTATATTTTTGTATCATGCATTGTTTATAAATGTATTTTGTCAAATATACAAAATATTAACTAGGAAAGCTCAAGGTTTTTAACTGTTTCTCATTTTTAAAATTTTACAAATTATTCATACACATCTACTGTTCCAAGATACCATTTGCATTTAAAATCAATTATGTAACAATAAAACTTCAGTTCAATTACTATTTCAAATCTATTAAATTCTATTGAACCCAAGAAAGGTTGAGTAAAGAAATAGATGATTTTACGTAATATTGACTGTACTTGAATCTTATTTTGTATAAGTTTTATTTAGTAATATTTGTATTTATGCATTTTTATTTAGTGTTATGTACTTACTGAGGAAATAGGTATATACCTTTACTTTAACTGTATACCTTTTTTGTCATTTCTTTTTTTATCATTTCCTTTTTTGCCCAATTTTTCTTTCCCTTTTTGTTTATAAAGTCATGCATTAGCTGAATTATATTTGAAGACCAAAATTTACATTTTCGTTGATTTTTTGATGAGCAATGTAGGAAATATCTTGAATTTTTTGCTACTTTTTTAGAATACAGAAGGGCAAATATTTTGAACAGAAAGATTTTGTCATGTGAAAGTAATTGTAAAATAATGCTATTCAAGTTTTACAATCAAGGTTTTATTCGAGTCAAAACCTTAAACACATATAAATCTTTGTTTGTTAAAGCTTGGAGAAAGGTTCTGTATCACTGTCTTAAGTGAACCTTGTTTTATTCTTCTTAATTTATTAGAAATTATTGTCATTATTATGATTAGAAAAGAAAATTATTAAATGTTTCTTTCAACAGTGATCTGTGTAATCTCTGTTTTAAATAGTGGAAAGAAATAGAAATAGTTACTCTAATTCAGAGAAAATAAATTTTCATTCAAGAGTCTTATAATCCATAAATTTAAATATTTTAACAATGTTCATAAATTGAACATTTTCTCCTTTAAATTTAATTTTATTGATAGGTCATCAAAGATTTCTTTTTCAGTTTTTATTCCTTTTCATTACAATCTCTGAATTATACACTTGTTGCAGTTGCATTATGCAGTCAAAATGAAAAATATTTATAACTGTAACTACTTTTATTAAAAGTAATTAATAATTGCAAATTAAATTTAATTTTTTCCCTTTGATTTAAATATTGATTATTTACTAGTGTTTAAATTGTTGGCTTCTATTTTTTTCCCTTTATGCTTTTTATCTATTTTATTTTTTGTCTTACCTACTCTAAAGAAACTTTTATTCCTTATGTTTTTAAGTGATTTTTTGTTTCATATTGTTTTTGTTTTGTTTTTAAATTTTTTATTCTATTATTAAACTTATATTTGAAGTTAATTAGAATGAGAAAGATTCTAGTCTAAATAAGGACTGATATTTCTATTTTATATAAAATTATATGTATTTGAAAAAAAAGATCCAAAAAATTATATTTTGTAGTATTTTAACGACGCTTATAAAATGAACATTTTCTCTTTTAAATTCAATTTTCTGAATAAGCCATAAAAATTTAATGTAAACAAAGATTTCTTTTTCTGTTTTTATTCCATCTCATTACAAACTTTGAATTATACAATTGTTGCAAGTCAAAATAAAAAATGTTTATAACTGTAATTACTTTTATAAAGAGTAATTAATAATTGCAAATTGAATTTAATTTCCCCCCTCTTTTTACGTATTTATTATTAATTATTTGCAAGTGTTTAAATTGTTGGCTTCTATTATTTCCCCTTTATTCTTTTTATCTGTTTTACTTTTGGTCTTACCTACTCTAAAGAATCTTTTATTTCTTGTGTTTTTAAGTGATTTTTTGTTGTTTCATATTGTTTTTGTTATGTTTATAAATTTTCATTCCATTATTAAAATTATATGCTTATATATTTGAAGTTAATTGGAATGAGAAAGATTCTAGTTTAAATGAAGACTGATCTATTGCATTTTATATAAAATTATATGTATTTGAAAAAAAGATCAGAAAAATTATATTTTGTTTTATAATTTCTTTTTAAGTTTTGTTCTAGTTGTCAAAAAAACGTTTTACATTTTATTTTTTACATTTATTTGTTGTTTACTTTCATTCATTTGATTCATTTCATTCATCTGATTCATTTCATTCATCATTATCATCAATTACTTTCCAGTCAGGAGGTTTACATTTTGAAGTCTGTATCATTGCTTGAAATTCTTTTTTGTGAATAATATGTTGTTTTCATAAATTCTGTGAGTTGGCTACAGTTACTCATTACTGTTAGGTCGAGTTTAACCTATCATTAGCCAGCGCCCTCTATGTTTTTACTAAAAATAGCATGAAGCATCCATAGGAAGAAAAGCTACAGTTTGTTGAAAATTGAAAGTGTTTGCGATCTAATTTTTTACTATTTAAAAACTTACTCCAATGCTGTATAGTCTAGGCATATCAAAATTTGCAAAACATAATAAGTTTTTTTTTGTGTTTGATAATTTTTATCTAAGTGGAAAAATGTCGCCAAATTGGCAATTTTTAAAAAAAAGTTTATTGAATTTTAAAGTTTTTAAGTTATTTACTCATTCTAAAGCCCATATATTTCTTCAATGCAAGATGTCATGTATAGTTTAAAATTATAGCTCTGCTTCAAGTGTAAGGCACTAAACTGGCATTTTTTATTTTCCTTAGCCAAAGACCTTTGAAAAACCTTGTTAAGGTAAATACACATTCCTTGACCGTACTTTTCTTTTTTGCATCAGACCTTGCTTTTAATGCCATTTAATTTTATTACCTTGAGCATGTATTATCATAGACTGTGGTGCTTCTTTACTTGTATCCAAATTTCTTTGTCATTAAACTATGCATTCAATTCAATTTTCATTATATATTTGCATATGTGCTTTATTTTATTTATTTACATTTTCTCCCCCCTCCGCCCAACCACATTTTGTTTTTAACTCACAACTCTCTTATGCTTTTTCTTGTTATTGCTCATTTAATATTGAATAACAATCTCTTTTTTTGTCTCCTTACGTCAAATTTTGTTTATTTACATTTTTATAAACAAATTAAAAAGTTATATTTAATTATTATTGCAGTATTAAAATTATTTGTTGAAAGAGAAGTGATGTCTAAAAAATTTGATCTGTATTATTATTTTGGCATATGATTGTTTTATTTTATAAATTTGATGCATTTAAGAAATTTCTTTCTTTTCCTGCTTTTCTTTTAACTGAATTCAATTGTCTATTTGTTCACTAAAACACTTCTGCTTTTAATCAAATTTTGTTTTATTGTTTTTTTTTTCTTCATGAATCTCATCATTTCTATTGTTTTTTTCTTTTCATGAATCTGTTATTATTTTCAATGTAAGTGCAATTTTAATCTTTATTTTTTCTAAGTAATAAACTATTATTTTAATTGTGTCTTTTTCCCATTTCTAAGTATGATAACACTTTTTTAACACCTTCTTAACATTGATAATAGTGTTTTAATATTGAAAAATATTAGAACACTGTACTATATGCATCAAATTTTCCTTTCAGTTTCATAACATTTTCATTTCTGACAATTAAGTTAAAAAAGTAAATAAAAGGAAGAAAAACTTTTTTGTTAACATTTTTTTATTCAAAAAGTATAATTACGAAATTATACGAATAATTATTAATTATCTGTTGCCACTACCGATTTTTAGTAATTCTAATTAAGTTTTAGTACTAACTATTAAAAAGGCTTTCAAAAAGTACAAAGAATTGTAATGATCGCGTTATTTTCTCCAGTTTGTACATAAGGCAACTAAATTGTTTTCTTAAAAAAATCTGCCGTTGCTCATATTTTTATTTTAGATTCTAGGGAAATAATAGGTGTAATGCAAAAGTATTAAGTTGAAAATGTTGAAGAGAAACAGATACTATAACTAAAACATTAACTGATTAAAATCAATAACCCTTAACACTTTTAATCTAGATGTAAATTTGAAAATAGTACCTATTTCTCTTGTATGAAAAGTTTGAGAATACATTATCCATGAAAATTTAGATGCATTTTTTATTTAAAATCCATACTTACATTTGTAATGAATCTAGAGTTAAAATAAAAGTTAGCGGAAAATTTTTTTGCTTCATTAAAACATTATTGAAAATAAATAAATTACCATTTCATACTCATTAAGTTAGTATATAACATGTACCATTATTAAAGTTTGGTCTTTAAAAATTGAATATTGGCCTCATGGATATCTTTTAATACTACCTTAAGCCCGTGAAGCAGCCACAATAAGTATTTTTCATCTTAATACCAATTGTTATTTGGTCTTTTATATTAAATAATTACTAAAACTTTAAATACAATTAGTTAAATTTAAAATGAAGTCTTCAATGAAATTTTAGATTCAAATAACAAAATCGAAAAACATTTAAAAATTGCTGTTTGATTTGAAAATATTAAATTAAATAAAAATGTGCTTGTCAATAAAAATATAAAATGGTACTTTTCTCTTTCGCCGAGAGTAAATTCAGCTAATTTATTTATCTATTTTTATGTTTATTTTTTAAATATCTCATTTAAAATATAAACAAAAAAAAACATTCATTTTGAGTTCATATTTTTTTTGTTTTTCGTATAGCTCTCTCATATTCATCACAATTATTAAAAATAATCATAATATTTATAAACCCATATTAATATTATTATTATTGTGGAATGCAAATTATAGTAACCAATAAAAACAAGATCGTATACAAGGATTTAAAAATAACTTTTATTAAAAGACATATGTAAAAATTTATAAACATGTAACAAAAATATGCATGAAACTCTTATGTAATTATTTACAGATGAATATTGTAATACAGATTAATGAATAAATAATATAATCTCAATGATTTAAAAAATAGTCTTTTAGTACTAAATAAATACTAGTTAATAAATCACAAAATTAGATTAAAAATTTCTTGTCATACACACATTTAATTTATTATATGTTAAACTGGAGAATGTTTTTAGTATGTCTAACTTTATAAAGTCTTAACATTCCTTTATAGAATATTTATTCAACCTAAAATACAAAACCATCAATAGAAATAAGCAATGAAGATTCATGGTATGTATGCTTATTCTACTTTAGCTTCTCATAAATGTATATTCTTTGTGTGATTTTTATATTCTTTCGCAACAACATAGTTCTTGCTTGCTGGAAGACTCATTCAATCCATCAATATCAGAATTGAGATGATTTGACAATCAATATCGGAATTGAGATGATTAAACAATCAATATCAGAATTGAGATGTGAAAGAAGAAAAATCAATTTGTTATCCATTTTTAAATAAATTTGTTTTGTTATGAACAGTTTTGTAATTAAGTAGATGAAAAACTTTATATTTTGAGAAAAGCCGCAAATGCTTATGAACTTGCGTCAATTTATTTTGCCTGACATAATTGATTTGTGTTCAAAATTTTTCAATTGCTTAGAAGCCACAATCTAAAAATAACTTTGCAATTATAATATATTAAAAAACGGAAATTAAATGTAACTTAACTTTTTGTACATAGCCTATTCAGAATTGAAAATGGAGTCTGGCACATGACAGTAGAGTCTTTATGACCCAACTTACATTGACAATGTCATCCAACACTGGCTCTATAAAATAGGGAAGAACTGATATTTGTGTTGATGACTGCTAATATGAGAATTCTCGTAGTTCTTTGATAAATATTTTGAGGAAATTATTTAAAGATAATGTTATACTTGGAATGTTCTTTCAGCCCATGATGGAAAGTGGTCAAAATCAAATATTAGCTTTCCAAAAGTACTTATCATTAAGATTTCAATTCCCACACTCATTATGTTCATCAACATTCCTGGTTTTAGCTGTAAAAAAAAAGAGAGTATAATTTTTTTTTTTAAATATATGTATAAATAACAAAGATAAACCTATATTGCTCTAAATTTATGTAAAGTATCTACTTTTATTAAAATGTATGACACACAATGAAATACAGAGATCACATTGTTGTTTTAATTATAAAATATTTTATTGTTATGTTTAACTCCGTAGCCTTGTCATTTTGAACCCAATCCAGAATACAAAGGAACTCCTGGATCGAGTATTGGGAGAAATTTGCCTTTGTGGAGTACTTTTTTGATGGAACTAACCCCCAGAGGTATTGATTTGTTATGGGAACACGGAGGACTTTGTGACTCGACAGATTTAACTCGCATCAGTCACCGATTTCTACACGTTGAGTCTTCGGCATGGGGGACCGAACCCAGGATCTCTTGGCATGGGCCCACTGCCCTGCCAGCCAAACTATCGCAGCCTTGTTAACAATACTTTTTTTATAACCGTCGTTGAACAGATAACCCAATTTTATGGTACGGTTTACGACTATTAATGTTCAACTCCCGTAGCATAGTAATTTTGAACCCAATCCAGAAGACAAGGGAACTCCTGAATCGAGTATTGGGAGAAATTTGCCTTCGTGGAGGACTTTTTGATGGAGCTAACCCGCATTTGCGTTTCATAGTAGAAAGGAAGACCACGAAAACCTTCCACGGTTAGCCTGGCGGACTGCAAAGGGACTCTAACCCAGTGGCGTACGCAAGGGAGGGGTTTAGGGGTTCAAACACCCCCCTTGAGCTCAGACAAAATGGCAAAAATATAAATTTTAGTAGAAATTATGCGAGCTATTATTTTTAAGACTATATATTTTTATGTGCCTTATGCCTACTTTTTGCTTCTCATGGTATTTCTTTTGAAACCAAAATCACGTGATATATATATATTTGCTGTTCTTGGTTCTTTAGGATGTCAAAAGGCAGGAATTTAACAATTTTTAATTACTTTGAGAAAAAATCACGACCTGAAATTAGTGAGGTGACAGCATCTAGTACCAATGTAAGTTTTTCTGTTGAACAGAAATGTGATACTTCCGTTGAAGAAAACGTTTCTAGCATAACAAAATCTGATGAATGTGAAAGTGGCCCTCAAAGTGTTACTTTCCACCCATATGACATTGGACTTTTGTCAGAAGATATTACACTATGTTCTTAAACTTAAAAAATCAAATCAAAATTTAACTAAACAATGTTGTTTAAATAAAAAGTCAAAGTTGTCTAGCTGTCTAAGTTAAGGAAATAATAGTGCTTTATTACAGACTCGAATGTCTTTTAGTAGTTTCAGAAACTTATGAACACCCCCCTTGAAAAAATTCTGCGTACGCCACTGCTCTAACCCATGATCCGTCTACTACTGAGGATAGTTCATGTCAGCACTGTGGTCGATGCAAGCTGGATGCGGAATTCGCATCCACTGGGATTCGAACCCGGTTCGCCTCATTGGAAGGCGAACGCTCTATCCCCTGAGCGCGGCTCTACTAACAATACTTGCAAGAATCGAAGCACGCTATCAAATTTGCTCAGCGTAGGCATGTCAGCAGTAGAGAAAACAAGAAAAGCTTCTAGCTCTTTGCAGCCAAAAAGATAAATGCATATTTTATTAGTTTTTAAAATACTTCATGTAATTTTTTACATCTTAAAAATATTCCATAATAAAAAATTAGGTCCAACTCGATACTTTTAACTGAAAAAAAAAATAAATTAGAAACCGAATTGCAAAGGGGATATATGTTCCTCTTGGGACCATGATCTGATTGCCATCTAAGGATGTTTTACATCAGCAATGTTGTCGGTGAAAGTCGGATGCGGAATTCGTATCGACCAGCTAATGCTGGGATTCGAACCCGGTTTGTCTCAGTGGAAGGCGAATGTACTATCGCCTGAGCCACCAATGCCCATGTCTAGTAGTATGAGAGATTGTAGACCAAATCTAAAAATTTTATAGATTTTGAATTCTAAACATGATACTATGCAGTAAAAAATACCAATTATGTCCACTTACCATATCCAGTGTACTCATTGTACCAGCCTCATAGACTATAGCATTAGGTGGTGTGGCCACGGGAAGCATGAATGCAAATGAGCAGGATATTGTCACGGGAATCATCATGTACAAAGGATTTATTTTCATAGCCACAGCCTACAAAAAAACAACAACAAAAAACTAAGACTCTGTATTATTATAATGCCCCACATTGTTCCTCAAAATTATACATAATGTGATAATGATTAATGCATATGTTTTCATTTTTATAAGATAGTTTTAAATCCCTAGTTTCTTAATATATCACGGAATAAAGTGAGAGTATTTTTTTTTTTCGTTGTCCAACCATTTTGACTATTTTGAACTTTTTAGTTATTTAGTGTATACTTATGTCCGATTGCTCTTTATAAAATATAAGGATATACGGCTATCTTTCATTGCATTAATAACTAAAATAAAATATTTTAATTTTCACCTCTATCGAATCTTTAATTTGGAATTTGTTTTTTATTCTAGTAGAAGTGAGACTGACTCGTTGATTAAAAAAAGGTTTCAAACTCAAGCTAGCTCGGACTCATCATAAAATTTTCATGAGTTTTTTAGAAGTTTTAAACAAACGTTTGATTCTGTTATTAAGTATGAAAAATTTATAAAGCATAAAAATTTCAGCAATCTATACCTCTTTTGTTAGGGGCTTTTGCTTTGTAAGGCTAGAACTAATTGTCAAATGACTTTTATTTACTTTAATTTTTGTTTTAGTCATCTTGAATCTACTGTTGGTTCAATTTTTCTCTTCGCTTTTCCTTTCACAGGGTGGTGATAGAAAAGTTTTTAATTTTAGATTTGATAGAAAACGTTTGTAATCATGATTACTAGTAATTGATTACTCTAAATGAGTATTGTAATCATGATTACAGTTGTAATCAAAATTTGTAATCATGATTGCAAGTAATTGATTATTGCAATTGAAAAATGTAATTGATTACATTTTTGCCCTACTCTAGTGTAATAAAAAATTATGATTACTTGTAATCGCAATTACCTGTAATCGTTATTACAAGTAATTGGTTACATAGCAGTAATTATCTGTAATCAATTACAATTGTAATCGATTCCCAACTCTAGGTGATACAAACGTTTTTAATTAACTAATTACCTTGTTTAGACATAGGCCGAGTGACGAGTTTGCAAAATTTGGCTTTTATAAGGAGTATAGTTCGGGTTATAAGTATATAATGCTATGTATATCTTACGGATTTAATTATACATACGGATTTAAATTCTTCGGACTGGCTTGGATTTCCAAAAGTAAGCTCGAGCTCATCTCTATATTCTAGTGTTATAGAGCAAAACTTTAAATTGAACAGTTATCGGTATAGAGGAAATAGATATATGATTGGATATTAAGGTAGAACTTACCAATTCAGCTACCACAGGTAAGAGGACATTAGCAGTCGCAACATTGCTTGTGAATTCTGTGATGACTGCTGTTAGAATGCAAAGCAGTGCGACAACTGCGAATGGCGATGATATGTTTAGTGAGAGTAGTTGTGCTGTCATCCATTTTGAAAGACCCGACCTCTACTGAGAAAAAGAGTTGCACATTAAAGTCAGGTTGAGCCTGTTATTGGTATAATTGTCAGAAAGATTTTGCATAGCTTTTGTCTTCAGTTAACCCTATATACCTATTGCTAACCTTATTTTTGTCCATGACGACGTAGCGCAAATAGCATTAGAGTAAATCGCAATGCTTTGCAACGTTTCTGAAAAATTCTAGTCTTTGAATGTACTAAGTCTTGAATATTCAAATATGTAATATAATAGACAAGGTTCTTGGGACAAGAAGAATCAACGTATGTCTGCATCAATGTTATGAGTTTAAAAACAAGTTTGCACGCTAAAGCCAAGGTATAAAACCATGCAGGCATGAGTTTTTACTTTGACTTAGAAGGCAAAGAAGTTTACGACTCAAAGTTTACAGATAACATGCTCACGTTTGCGTTACACAAAAAGGTGTTAAAGCATGGATTTTATTCGTGTATCAAAATTTGAGATTCAAACCAGAACCGCCTACCATGACTGATTTTATATTTTAACACAGTGTATATATATATTTCGAGTTGTTATACATCATCAAGAGTTTGTCATCAATTAAATTTTATACGAGCCGTTGTGTAATCACAGGTGATAATACAAGGTGTTCCTTAAACACCGCTCTACATATGGATTTTAAGAATCCTCATCAAAAAGGAATATAAAAAATTGGTCATTGGAAAGCATATGAAGTTGGATGTAATACATCAAAATAGAAGAAAGCTGAAGGTGTTTCTTTATAATCTTCTTCCAACCCTCTGTCAAATTGCCTTGCTGTTTAATTGCATTCGCCCTCCTGTATTCTAATTAGTCAGAGTTAGATATCCTCTCGCTAAAATGTTAATTTACGAACCCCAATGAACATACTTTTTTTGCTTTCATTTACGTTGTCAAGGATTCTAATAATGTATAATAACACGTTGAGCGTTACGCGTATTTTTAAGGAAATAATCGTCAGGTCACGTGTGCTGCTCAGAAGCGCATGTATGGTGTTGCAGAAATGCGAGGCGCAGTACTAACTATTAGAAGTAATTAAAAAAGGAAACTTCAAATAAATGTTCAGTAATTACTTAAAATAATGTAAATCAGGTTTCTTATTGTATTTTTTACACTGTCAGTCACCAATGACTGACGTGGCGTGAAAGGCGGTCTCTATGAAACACCCCATATACGTTTTCAGAATCTTTATTTAAAGCAACAACAACAAAAAATGCTCAAGCTGATAAGATATTAATATTTATGTGAGAAAGAAATAATATTAATTTCTAGCGATGTGTTATCAATAAAAAAGTGGAATTAAAAATGCATAAAATCAGTGTGATTGTCGATTGACACTAAAATATATTTTAGGTGATCTTATCCCCTTTACGTTTATGGCCTTTCAAGTCTCGCCCGACAATTAAACTGAATTTTGATATTTTTAATTTATTTTTTACTGCAATTTGGGTTCTTTCTTTTCAAGAAGAAGACCTCCCATACTCACACGTGACCTATGACGTCAGCGGCAGCTAATCTTGATCAGCAAAATGGTGTACTGAAGTTGAGCTAGATTATTTGTTTATGTATTTTATTGCAACCGTGATGCGTTTTTGTTTTGTGTACCTGGCAACTTCGATGCACAATTAGTTTCTTTACGTTCCATATGACTTTGTGTTAAGTCTCTGTCTAAATATATATGGTGAAAGAATTGAAATATTTGAGAAAGAAATTAGAATGCGTCACTTAAGAGATTTGATACTTGAAGGGCCTGCAGTATCCTCACTGCTGAGTCAAACTCAAAAACGACAACTGCCCCCTGGCGCAGTTGTGAGATTGAGACTGCTACTTCAACTTCTACATCCGAACCAGTCCGAACTTTGAACTGAAGTGAACAGTAGTTTCTTTTTAGATATAAACAAGTTCGTTCACGAGATGTTGCTCATCTGATATTATTCTCTCTCGCGATCGTCAGCGAGATATATTTTTATTTCATGTAACCTTTTATTATTTAATTTTAATTACATTAAAATGTAATATTGGAGATGAATTATTATTTCATGTCTACTGCATAAAAGACAGGATTGGACTTCGTGATCGGGTCTAAACCTGTAGGCCTGTCTTACTCGAAAAAGAATGGAAAGAACAGTCGCTAACGTAAACAAATGTCACGTTTCCACATCCAATCTGGATCGAGATACCCACACTACGCCACTTCCAGGTATGCCATTATTTTCGGTTATGACTAGTCAACTTTTGATAATGTTTTAGTTACATAAAAATAATCACGAATGTTATTGTAATAACACCCTGTATTCAGAAACTTTTAACAAATTGATAATAATATTTAATTGACTAATCTAAAAAGTATGACAAGAATCATTAAAATATTTACTAAAAGTAGTATTACCTCGGACGCCGTAGCAAGGGAAAATCCTCCCCCTAGCAATATTATGACACCCCAAGGAACTTTGTGCTGCAGTGTCTTCCACTCCAGGAGTGGTTTACTCTTTCCTATACGCGTGGGTTCAGATGGAATCAGAAACAGAAGAATCGGAATTCCAATTGCTGGGGTAGCATCTGAAACTCTTCTGTATTTGAAAAGAAAAAGAAGCAATGAGAATTTAAAAAAAAGAAAATGAGAATAACATCGAACTGAAAATTTTATTTTTCAACTTAGTTGTCACTTTTTCCTCAAACTTAATGAGTCGGTGAGAGTTACCTTTAGGTCCTATATTCCTTTGAAAAACGGTATGTTTATTAAAGTACGTTTTTGTGTCTGATACTGTAACTTAAGCTCCAAATTATTAACATGTTGGAGACTGCCATTATGATTGGCACTTGAATTGCGAAATTCTGATTATTAAAAAAAAAAAGTTACACAGGCTAATACCTTTTTCTTATATTGCACAAAGTGAACATTCTAATACTTAGATTAGACTGTGGCAACAGTTTTTTGCATCAATTTTTGGCATCATAAATCGGATTTTTATTATGTCTACAAGGCTACTAAGATATTTCGCTCCTTTTGATATTCGAAGTTATAGTAAAGGATGTTAGAAGGAAATATGAAGATAACAAACGCATTATCTTTAAAGAAATTCTTGACGTTTATAAATAAGATAATTTTGACAATTATTTTCAAATGTTAATTTTGGCGAGAATTTCGGAATTCTCGCCAAAATAAAAAGTAAAAATATCTATTAAAATAAATACTTACAATGGAAAATAACTTCCCCAACCAGTAATAAACTGCGGATCACGAAATATCCATAACATGACAAGCAGGAAAAATAGAGTGGCCACAGCTTTTTCCTGAAATCTAAAAATTAAAAAAATTTAAAACTCAAAAACTGCAGAATGTTCCGTAAGTACCGTCTTTAACATACAGGCTGATTCAGAATTTTTGTTCAGAACTCTTCAGGTATGTGAGACAAACAAGAATTATATAAGAATGCATAGTCGTAAATACGCGACATGCCTACAAATTATTTATTCAAAAATGCATTTTTGCAAAAAGCATTGCAAGGCATGAATCACAGCAGCTGGTTGCAACTTCGAACTTCTTAATTTTTTTTTTTTTTTTTAAATATCCAGTTGACCTGTTTTTGTGTCACACATAATCATTCTTTTTGGTCTGTTTCTAGTTTTTTGCACATGAACATTGCATTTGAAACCTGTACCATTCTTGTTTTTTTATGATCTAGACTTACATGCAGATTTTTACATAATAATTTTGAATTAACCTGAATATTTCTTTATTCATTATCAAAAAGAGGTTAAAAAAAATGCTCATTACGCTAACGAATACTGAAGGGTGTAAAAAGCAAAAACGCTATCGAATTTTATCAAGTTACTAGTGATTAAACTGGGATGAAAAACATCGAAACCAGTTTGATTGCCGGGAGGAACTTGGAGTTTTTATAATAATCATCTTTCAACTCCCCTTCAACCATACTGGTTTTGAAGGTTGTTAGTCTCGCTTTTCTCAGTTGTAATTTGTTAAATTTAGATACCGTTTTTTCCCCTTGGTTAAATATTCATTTGTGACTCCTGACGTGTGTTCTTCCTTTGCTTAAATTTTAACAAAGATTCTAAAAATATACAATTAAGATGATCATTAAAAAACACTAATTTTATTTCAATTTTAAAGGCTATTTTTTGCCTAAGCTATAAGCAAATGGTGTTAGTGGCTAAAAAAGGGAAGTCACTTCCGAATTATTTTTACGCCAAACCTTAAGTTTTTGTCATCGTTATAACTTTCAAAGTAAATATTCATTTGTGACTCCTGACGTGTGTTCTTCTTTGGCTTAAACTTTGAATGTATACAATTAAGATTATATGTAATTAAGATGATCAAAATATATAATTAAGATGATCATTAAAAAACACTCATTGTAACAAATTATGTACGTCCATAAAAATTAGAATTGATATGCCAAGATAGCCTGGTTGGCTGTCTCGGTGCTGGACTCACGTTTGCAAGAGCGTGAGTTTGAATCCAGTCGGCCAAAGACTCAGCGTATAGTAAATGGTTACTCGTGCACGTTAAATCTGCTGGGTCACAAAGTCCTCCATGTTTCCATAACAAATCAGTACCTCTGGGGGTACTGAATTGGAGATTGATCGTTCTCTGATTTAGGTCAAAATTACGAGCTGTGGAGGAAGGAATGGGTTCGCCCTATAAACGGGTGTGGCAGAATAAGAATTCTTGTTCATAGATGGCGCCACTGGAAGACACGAACAATCGCACTCCCTCTGCCTTAATGGCCGACGACAACATCATCAGAGTTGATTTTTGTTGGTAGTAAGCTTTAAGAATTAATTTTTTTTAAATAAAAAAGTATTGATTCAAAATTGATGTAAAAAATAATTTTCAATACTTGCCTCATCGGTCCCAACTCTAAGTGTTTCTTCTTAATAATTTGTTTCAGATTCTCCTTCAGTTCCGGTGTATAAATGCTTGAACTAATGAATAAAAAATAAGTATTTAAGCTCCTCTTTCTAAATTTCTTCAATATAATTAGTTCGTAAATAATATTTCTTTAATTAATAGAGGTCTAAAGCAAACTTAAGTCATCTGATGTTTGCGATGGCTTTAGCAATACTATATAAATGGAATAAATTTCAAATGTCAATTGTGTTAGAAAGTCCCCTTTTTTTCTGACACAAGTAATCCAGGTCAGAATCTCGATCTTGGCTTTAGGATTGTCATGCTGCTTATAGCTTTTATGCACTATATTGCAGACGCAACATATTTCTTGGGCCATTCTTAGAAATTTTAATTGTTGATTCCTTTTCGCGATTTGCAAAGGAACTTGCTTCATTCAAATTGGTTTTTAAAAAGAATTAAAAGCCTATAGAGTAATATAGGGATTAACAATTTACACATTTGAGTCGATATGGATGGTTAACCGTATAAAGCCATAAAAAATGGTTTAAGTGGCCAAAAATAGTAAAATCACTTTCGGATTACTTTTTCGAAGTATTTTCAAGCTAAGCCTTAAGTTTATGTCAACGTTATAATTTTCACGTTTTGCCGACCTAGTGGCCGAGTGGTTATCGTGCCTGACTGCGGAGCCGCTGGTCGCGGGTTCGAATCCTGCTCAGGGCATGGATGTTTCTTTCTCTCTGTGTTCTATGTCCTTTCTCCTTTGTGTGTGAATGTGACCCGCCGTATAAACGGGTTTGTGGTTGTGTGACGTGGGCGACGCTGCTCCACCGCAGTGGCTTCGCCACAGGTGCCCACTGGGTAACGAGAAGAGAGTAGCAGTTGTGGCATTTCTGTGGCCAATGGGACAACCCCCAAGTGCCCGCCATTAAAAAAAAAATTTCACGTTTTGCATTTTCCTGCAGTGTTATTCCTTTACAGACTAGCTTTTTTTTTAGCTTTTGTTTTAATATTCAGAATAATATCGAGTGAAAAAAAATCTCATACAGGGATGATTTGAGGTTAAAACAAATGTATAACCAAATAAAAACCAATACAACACCCAAAGGTCATTTATTCTGTTTATTAATCACTTCAAATATTTTCGTTCAATTTAATGTGTATTATTTATCACAGTATTGTAATTATATATTCAACTTAGAAGAATCTTATAAACGATGATATTGAGCGAAAATTTAATCCTAATCTTAATAAGAAATCCTCCTGGAATATCGAGCCTGTTTACACTTCGCCTCATAAACACAACATCGGTGGAGGGCAGTGGTGTAAATAGCGTCCACCACGAGGTTTGAGGACGCATTCGATAGAAAAAATAACAGTAAGGGCGCTTTTTCATTACACGACACGATAACGACAAAACGGATCCGATTGTCGGCGAACGACATAGAGTCAAGTAAAATACATGGTCAGCAACGGAGTGCTTTTTCACTCACCGATACGATAACGATTATGTCGTATCCGACAAGGCGATATCGTTTGTCAGAATCAAATGTTGGTTAGGCAAGCAAGTTTCTTCTCGAATCTTGGCGATTTTATTTGTTATTGTGTATCTTTTCTGTTTTATCTCTTCTTTTGATATCATTATTTTATTCTTTTAATCAATTTTAATCGTTTATTTTCAATAATATTCATGTCAAATGCAAAATTTGAAGATAAAAGTTTTATAAAATGTATCCTCATGTCGGGTTATAAATTTTTAATTTTATTATGTAGCATTTTTTACATTATAATGAGGTTGAAAGACTTAAACAATCACAAAAGTTTTATTGAAAATTTTTATAAATTCATTATATGCTTTAAGAAGAGATAATATTTTTCATAATAGTAATGGTTTGATAAGAAGGCAAATAAAGACCCTTTTGTATTTCAAACAGAACTCGATCTAACTACTGGTTTCTGCTTGATTGAATAATAAAAAATCTGTTCCCTGATTCAGCTGAAACATTTTTTTGAAACATGATAGAACGGCTTCATAAGATAAATTTGGTAAAACTCATTTAAAAAATCATCTAAAACGATTATTCTGAATGAAACTAATATTTTAATTCGATTAAAAAAACACGTTAATACTTTTAAAAACATTTAAAGAATTTAAGTAATGTTAAGTGATTACAGACATAAATTAGCGAGCATAAAAATTATTCCTCATTAACATCACTCTTGTTCTTGGTTTCTCTCATTCAGACATAATTAAAAAAATTATTTGGGACATTTTGCAGCTTATGGAAAAGCACATAAAAATCTTCTTCAACATATCTTGGGTCATTTATTTCGTGGGTACTTACGTTGTTGCAGAAGTTGTGCTAATGCGCCAATAAAGAGCAATACTGTTGTTCGCACACAGCGTTTTCGCATGCAGTTATCTTTTGGATTCCTTGTTGCCTTGCCTGCTGATTTCTGACGCCATTTTTAGTACTACGAAAATGCATCTTTGGGATTAGCCAAAAACAGAAGAAGAAGCAATTTTATTTTTTCAGTAGCGAAATATTTTTCCCCCAAAAGGAAAACAGAAATGTATCAATTCCCATGACATGAAACTTTATTTTGGTAAACGTACGTTTTGGAAATGTAATTCAAGACAGTGTATCAGCAAGTGGGATTTAGATGATAGCACAATTTATTCTGACAGTTGGAAAGGTTATCAAGCAAAGATAATAGAAGGATTCCTACTGGCTAAGGTTTATTATAAATACAAATACCTTAGCAAGTAGGTATTTGTATACATTTTATTAATCCTGATACAGGAGTTCATAATACACAAACAGTTGAGAGAATAAGGAGCAGTGCTAAATGGAGGAACAAAAGACATAGAGAGACAGCGAGACGTTATTTGGAATCTTATTTATCAGAGTACATATGGCGACAACATCTGGTGAAAGAAAAGAGACTGTTTTGAATATATGTAAAACTCTATATCGGTCCATTTTCCATCGAAATCCGATTGACTACTTTGATTTTAAATAAAGTGTTTTGAATTTTTAGATTTTAAATAGAGTGTTTTATTTCATGATTTGTCGCAAAAATTTTAGGTGTAAATTGACGGCATTAAAAACCGCCAAATCTGTAGCTGCGGTGGCGTTAATACATAAGTACCATTTCGTGTACCCAAAAAACGTTTCTGCACTGCTAGCATTTTTCTTCTAAAAAAGTAAGAAGTTTGAGACGACGATAATCATCCGGCATATTTAAAGTTTGCAGAAAAAAATCACAACAGAACACAAACAACTGCTCACTCAAGCTCAAAACATTGAATGAACAAGAATTTCTGCTTCTCGGACGAACGATATCGGACAAGTGAAAAAACAATTGCTTGAACGATCCGGCAACGACATTGTCGTTCACACATTTGTCGTCCGATTTTGTCGGTATCGTGTCGTGTAATGAAAAAGCGCCCTAAGAGTTCAAGTAAAAATATTCTTTAATTATAAAACATTTTTAGTTCACTTTATAAATGCAGTCAAACCCCGCTATAGTGAACACTGTTTGTAGTAAACTCCCGGATATAGTGAACGAAATGTTCGGTCCCGTGTCTTGCTACAGAACACGTATAGTGTTATTTTTTGTGAATATTGTGAACCGAAAAAGTGAGGAAGTTGGATATAGTAAACTTTTTTCTGTCTTGAACTGATTTTTTTCTTCATTTTTTTTTTGTAATAATTTTGAAATTTTTACTTCAAAATAAATACATATGCCGATTTTTAAAACCATCTATAGAGGGGAATGTGGTGATAAGCATTTTTTCTTGTTTGTTTTTTTTATCTCACTTTCCCATCCCTGAACAAACCAAGCAGTTGTTTCCAACCCTGGCAGATGATGTACCTGTAAGGTGTCAGTGGGATTAATATGCATTTTCTATCAGAAGGAATGAGTATTTATTCGTTATTGGTCAAAGGGTTGGACACTAATATGTTTTGATAAGGCCCTCATTTCAACTCCTTTTTCAGTTCAGTTTAAAAAAGCCTGCAAACAAGTTTCTCAAATTTAACTATGGCGAGCAGTAAGCGTAAAACGTTCTTCATTGATGATAAAATGGGCATAATCAGAAAAATTGAAAATGGATGCAATCAAGTTAATATTTGCAGAGAATATAAACTATCCTAATCTGCAGTTTGTAACATATGAAAAAATAGGCAGTTAATTATTTCTGCTCATGAAAAAAATTTAGATGCCAGAAAAAAGTTGAGAAAAGCAGATTACAAGGATGTTGAAGAAACATTACTAAAGTGGTTCAGCATTAGAGGAAGCCACAATCTCTCAGTATCTAAAAAAATGTCGATGAATTTGCTAAGTGATTTTATGAGACTACTTTTATGTGCTAAAATGGCAGGTTAGACAGGTTTAAAAAGCGGAATAACAGAAATTTAGGAAAAATTATCTGATAGTCGGGCAGTGTTTCCATATCTTATGATGAGGATTGCTCATCAGCTAGAGATTACTAATTTTTTTTTGTACGCAATACGATGAGTAATAAAAAAATAACACATTTTTTGCTACTACATGATATTTTTCAGTCATTTATTCGAATAATGAGTAATAAAAGGGAGATTTAAGGCATTAGTTAAATTGCCTGCATAACGGATATAGTGAACTTCCGGTTATAGTGAACCGAAATGTCGGTCCTTTGAATGTTCACTATAGCGGGGTTTGACTGTAATAACCTTTAACTAAACTTTGAATATAATTATGGTAATTTTCTACAGTGCTTCAATTTAGTACATTAATTCTACCTTTTCTTTTGCGATTAATACTTTTATTTTCTGAACTTAAAGCAAAATTAATGATTACAAATATCCAAAAATTACTTCACCACAGTGTTTTTGTTTCATATTATAATTTTAAATTCTTTATGGTAAGTCTAGGATAGGGCACATTTCTGGAGCACAGATGCGCCTGATGTTGTCCTTAGGTGTTGAGTTCTTTTTTTAGAAATCTTTACATATCGTTTATTTATTCACAAAAATTATAAAACAGCTTTTGGTTGTTGAGTATGATTTTATCTTATATAATCTCAATAACGGACAACTAGTTAAATTTTCATTTTTTTGACGTAGCTTAAGCTAACTGGTAACCGAGCTTAAAGCCAGAACGTAAATATTTTCTTCATAAAAGTCTCATCTATGCTCTGGATATAAACAAAAACCGATTCTAAAGCGTGCGAAGAGGTTTTCCGTTCCTCAAACATGTACACAAAGCAGAGCTTGTTACTTAGTAGAACCTGTTGAACAGCTTTCCCTGCTTCGGAAATTCGATGACAATTATCATCGCCAAAAACTTCGTCTTGAACGCCAATTATATCGCCGTCAATTAACTATTATTCCAGAAAGCATGTAACCTTACAGCAACCTTGCGTCGGAATTTTCTTTTTACTGTCATGAAAATGTTTGAATTAAAAACCTTTTTTCAATAAAGCAAAAATATTGCAGTTTCAAACATTTCATCCTAAAAGGATAAAAAATTATTTTTTAAAGCTTTTTTAAAAAGTATTGTCACTTATTAGGTAAAATGGTCACTTAAAGTCTGGTTTCTTAGGACAAGCGCCTTATCTGGGCGTCAGCGGAACGTCAACGTCCCGCTGACGCCAACAAAATACTGGTTTGTTAGCTTAATGCCTGGTTTCTTAGGACTAGCGCCTTATTTGGGCGTCAGCGGAAAGTTGACGTAGAGCTGACGCCAAAAAAATACTTTTTTGTTAGCTCAGCGTGAGCAGTCGGTCCAACGCAGACATTATCTCTCATTGCGCATGCGTTAATAACGTAAACAAATATTTATTTTGAATTTGTNCCATTCGTTTAGCATTGCGTCATATGTTGTTCCTACTAAATCGAAGTAGTTGTGTTTTTATCATATTATACCCAATTACCTAGATTTAAGATTATTTTCACCTTGAGACTAGCTTTACTAAAGTTTTTTTTTCACGCTTGAAAACCTTAAATCTATCTCAATTTAAGGTTTTTATATAGAAGGTTGTTTTCCACGGTTTTGGATTAGGGTAATGTAGCGTAGAATAGAGAAGATTGTCATAGATCTCGTTTTAAGGTTAGAAGGTTTACACGTAAACCGGGTTATAAATCTTTTCAGGTTTAGATTAAAAGGCTTTTGTTGAGTGAAAATAAACCTCATTTTGCTATCTGGGTATTACTCTCTTTTTCAAAACAAAAGGAAAACACATATATTTTTAAAATTTAATTCCGTAAACAAAATGATGGAGTAAGACTTACGCTTTTCGTATATTTAACATATAGAGATAAGCCCAGGCGATGGCGACAACCATCAACATAACAGGGACGTTGAACATCATCCATTTGTCGAAAGACAAATCCGGACAGTCGGGGAAAAGTCTGAAAATAAGCTTATACTATTATTCTTTAATATGTTTACTTTCTTTAATATGTTTACTATCTTTAATATGTACTAAGTAATATCAGATTAAATTTACAAAATATTTGCAGAATGTCTGACTTATGCCCGTCCTTGAAAGAAGCAACTTTTGGAATTATTTTTGAAATTCATACTTTCAAGAAATACATTTTCATTTTCAAAAAAGAGTTCAGCTGCGTACGCTGTGACGATAAATGAACCAGTTTCACTTTGAATGCTTCTTAATTCTAATTGCTACGCTGAATGTTTCATTTATTTCTAAATCCTTAAATGTTCGTATGAAATGCTTTAAAATTATAGTTTGTAATGCGATTAAATTTAAATTTTGGGTATTTATTGGTCATAGAATATTCGTATTGGCGCCTGCTTTTCCGCGTTATCGCCAACACGAATATTGGTCCCTAAAACGGATTAGTACCAAATTGTGATATTTTTCGTATTTGATATACATTATTATCATCTGTCGTATTTGATTCACCTATTTGCATTATCAATAGTCGATGGCATACAACATTAACCAGAATCTGGCATTAGTTCCCACGTGTTGGCGACCTTGGCTTCATGTTTCATATCGCCAAAGTACCAAGTTTTGACTCGTTTTCCCTTTAACAATGTTAATGTCTTATATCAGATCATACAAAGAATAGCTTTACGACTCAAACCTCCCGCCTTGCTGTAGAGAAAAACTTTGGGAAAAATCAAACTCTTAATAGTGCAAAGAGAACAATTAGTGCAGCATTTACCTTTATTAATTAGAATTTTACTAACTTAAAGCTGCTTTTCAAAGCCTCGGTCATCACATGGAATTACAGCTTTTAACGAATAATATGATATTCTTGTAACTGTTTTATTTTTGAAGCATATATCCATAACTGCCTGGCTAAGTTTTGCCTATCTTTAGTTAGCACCCCCATGTTTATTCTGAAAAATAGCGTCAAATGTAAGTCTGAGGAAAAGTAACAGTATTATGAAAATGAAAAACGTTCTTGATCAAATTTTTTAATATTTGAAGTGATACTCTAACGTAGCATTATTCGTCATCATAAGCAAATATTTTGTGGTTCTTCTTATTTTTTTAAATAATTTTTTTTTCAATATTTAAGCTATTTTTCATTTTAAAGTGCTTCAATTATTTTTAACAAAATCGTAGGTATAAACAATTTAAAATTCAAGTTTTACTTTGAGTTCAAGGTACTCTACTGTGGTCTTTTTGTTTTCCTCTGCAAAAAGCTTTATAACAATAAAAAAAAAACGCAAAAACTCTAATGACTTTTTGTAAGTTAAAAGTTCATAATCATTTTGCTATTTAACTTAATTCAATATTATGTACTTTCTCCCATTGCTTACTTTTCCGTAATAGACTTGACTACTAAGTTAGGTCCTGTGCCCGTCAACGTTCCTGTTCCTCCAATATTGGCAGAATATGCAACACTTAAAAACATGGCTCGCTTTATTACTCCTATCATTTGGCTTTTATGGACAACATTCCTGTAAAAAAAAATTAAACAGTTTTATATATATATGGCTCTATGTTTTCTAATAGATGAAGATCAAGAGAGAAGAGCAGTACAAGAAAGCTGATTCTAAGAAAAAGTCAAAGTTTGTGAATTCTCAGAAGATTGAAATCGTAAAAATACAATAATACACTAATGTTACAAGTATTTCTTTACGTTTTCTAAAAATTTCGAAGCAAAATTTACAATTTTTGATAAAGAAAAAAGAAACTAACTAAGCAAATCGAATTTGGATTTATTTAGTTAGTTTACTCCTCCCCAATCAATACCTTCTCTATAGTATTTCCGCCCTCTACACTATATTTTTGCTAACTCTTCACTATATTTTTTTTTATCTAAGTTGCTTAATCGAATGAAGAGTAGCTTAAAAATCCGACATAATACGTGTTTAAAGCATTAAACGATGATTTCATTTGTAAAGGAACTTCCTGAAATGCGAAAATGTCTAGGATGTCGTGTTAGCTGCTTTGAAATTTTAAATAATTACAATTGCAGTCAAATTCTTAACTTTTTATCCTGGTTTTCTGCTTTAATTATGCTAGATTTCATTCCTAGTGTCACGTAGATTTTCGTGTTTCGATTATTTATATCGACTACAGCACGCCATTGGGCTCTAAATTGTGGAGCCTAAACCTCTATGACCCTTCCTGCCTCACAATGGGCTTGAAATTACTTGCGCTTACTTACTTGATTTACTTTTTTTTATTTTTTATTCTGACTCTTAATATTCTTAACGTTATTAAGTATATCATGACCCATGACGGTTATTTTTTCCAGCACTACTTTAAAATTCAGAGGGAAATGTATTTAAAAGTGAAATACTCCTATTTTGACTTTTTACAAAATTTGGAAATAGGAACTGAATTTTGAAAACTCCTGGCGTGTATACCTCCGCTTATATGTTTACGAGACAAAGTGTGAACGGACTCTCAGACTTTTTTTCATTGCATTTTTTAAATTATTTATTTATATATATTTTTTTATTGAGATATTTATTCAAATGTGCATGTAATTTTACTATTCATAAGAATTATCCGTAGTTTATAAATCTTAAAAGATCGTGAAATTAATATTACAACTTAAGGAGTGAGTGCTGCCATGTTTTCAATGTTATTTCAATTGTTTTAATCTTCCACTAAAGTTTAATGGATTATCAGTACAGTCGAACTCGCTTATAACGAGCACAAAGGGACTGTAACATGTACTCGTTAAATCCGAGTGCTCGTAATAAACGGGTCCTTAAGGCAGGCGTGCAACCAGAAGACGGGGGNATTTCTTAAAGAATAGGTTATTTCTTGCATTGAATCGCTGTATCCAGCCATTGCTTGCAACAAAATTTGATTCTCCAAGTTCCTTATAGCTCGCTAAAACCGGGTCTTGCTCGTTAAAAGCGACTTCTGCTCCATAGACTTAACATTGATCCAACCAAATATCCTCGTTTCCCTCGGTAAGTCCGAGTTCTCGTTAAATCCGAGCTCGTTATAAACGAGTTCGACTGTATGAATGTTAAATAACATAAGTCACACTTTAAACGACCCAAATAGAATAACATTATAGGATGACGTGTTTTTTAAGTTTAAAAATAAATTAAGTAGTAACGCTGTACAGATTAATACAAATTTTATAAGCTAGAGCCACCTGTGTTGTTCTTCATTCAGACATTTATGTGTGCACAGGGTTAGCAATTATCTTGATGTTCCCAATTTTCCTGATTAAAAACACTCTGTCCTTATTTGTCCTGATATGCCACGTTTTGTCCTGAAATTCCTATTTTACTTTTTTTTATTTCAAGTAACACCGATTTTAAAAGAAGCATTTCGTGATTTTTTTTCTCCAGATTACAATGTAGGACATTTAGTATGTTTCTATCCTTTGTTCAGTTTTGTATACATTTATTCTTTATTACGTAAATTATGTACGATTCAGCTTTGAAGTAATTTTTTGTTGTTTTTTAATTGTAAAAATAACCATAATATTTTTCCTTTAAACTAATTTCAATCTATTTTTACATTGAGGAATCTACTTCCAAAGTAAAAAAATTAAGATATAGAGATTTGTCACTGTGCACGTTCACTTGAAATCGTACCTTTTTTTAAAAAGAAATCTTTCTGATTAACTAGGTAGTTACAATCTTAATTTTTTTAAGAACGTCAGATATTGCCCTTTTTTTTAAAATGTTAGGGACAGTTATAGAAATGTGCCAACAGATAGAATGTGCAAAACAATATTTTCAAAGCATCGAATAAGCTTAAAAAAGCTTATAGTTTCACCTTCATAAAAATAGTCCAACATGTGGGGTCTCGTATCAAACAAATATCCTGATTTTCAATAAAATGTTATCCTGATCCATTTATTTGTGTGAAATATTAGGGGTGAGGGTTTTTCGAGCTTTATTATTATTTAAGGGAACGTATACCCATCGTTCCCCGCATTCAAAATCTAAAATAACGCATATAAAATATTTTCAATCGACCCTTCATTTCACTACTTGAAAGTCGGGTGGAAACAATTTTAAAACATTAAACAGGAAAGCACTCAGTCTTTATTGCAGATTTGGATTCATCAGAAAAATACCAAGTTGACCAACAGATCTTTTCATTTTGGTTCACAGATGGTTCTGTATTCGTAAAATGAGAACGTTGTACAGATTGTTTAAATTAAAGATATATCGAGAAATGCAATAAATAAAAGAAAACAGATCGATAAATAAAGATGGAAGATCGATAAATAAAAGAAATACAGCGTGTTTAATATTTTGAAAAACCCTGTATAATGTCACAAAACTTGCCCGCTGAGTATTGTAGTGATCATGAAGCGATTGAAACACTCATTTTCAACAGTCATAGAGCTATAATACAGATTGAGTGCTCTAGCTAGTTGTAAAGGGGAGGAGAAAATTTCGATCGCCAGATTTCACTCTCACAGACGCAAAAGCGAGATTGTAATATTAAAAAAAAAATTAAGTTTGTGAGTCGCTTTAAGAAGGTGATAAATTGGTTTAAAAATTCTATTCTATCGCACTATTTCTTATTAATGAGTTTTATTTTCAAGCTTTTAAGAAAAACTTAAACGTAAAATAAATGAAGAGAAATACTTACTCAGCACTGTTCCGAGAACATTTCGTATCAAGCTCTTTACAATGTGGATCTGTAGGTACCTTATGTTCCACAGATATGACTGAAACTGAAAATAAGGTAAGCTGTAAATCAGATGTTGGAATAGAACATTAATTCAATAGTCCGTTTAACTTCAATAGACCCAGCGTCCAATACATTGAACAACATATTTGGTACAATTTTTATCCCTTAAAAATATTTTTAGATTTTTTGTTCAGTTTTATATCTTTATTAAGTCTTATAGTCTACGTAAGAATATAATTGGGTTTACCCTAGTTGGTCGGAGTTTTTAATTAAATTGAAAAATAAGAAAGGTAGGAAGTTTGATTTTGCACAGTAAAGTGGCATATCTTGTGTGTGGATTTTGCTTTATGATCAAAAGGGAAAGGAATATCGTTTAAAAATATTTTATAATATACGAAAAATGTTAAAAGTTAAAATGTATCATTATGTCGGCCATAATTACACTAGGGAACCATTTTGTTTCTGTTGCATGAGATCTTAGATACTTTCGTATCGCTTATTTAAAATCTGTAATAAATTCCTCCCACCAAGTCACAGTTTCTTTTTTGTTTTTAAAATGAGTCACTTTTAGTCTATTTTTTGTCGAAATGTACAGGCTTAAAAACATATATAACAGGGGGTCAGATGAATGTTGCGCAAACTTCTGGGGGAATTAGGGCACATCAGGATTAAAATCGCATAGGAACCCATGACGGGAAAGGTAGTCATACGCCGCTAGTGGCGCTACCCCTATTATGACCTGTTTCTTCGTGTGTTTTTGTACAGGTCATAATAGGGAAGCGTCTTTAGCAGCGTACTATGACGTTTCAGAGCATGAGTTCCAATGCAATTTTAATTCTGATGATGTGCCCTAACTGTCCTTAAAGCTTCTCGCTATATTTACGTGTCTCTTTCCATACGTAACGTTTCTTAACTTGTATATTTCGACTAAAAATAGACTAAAATTGCCCTTTGAAAAATCTGTAATTGTAGGAGTCAGAATTAATTTCAGGTTTTAAGTCCTCGCATTCGAATTAGAGAAGATCAAGCATTTGTATAATGGAACAAAAAGTTTGTTCCCTAGTGTTATTGATAACTAAAAAAATGTACTTAAGTTTAAGTAATTGATTTTTTTTAATAGATATTTTATCGCTTTTATGAGTTCTCTTTGTTCTAGGCTATACATATCTAAGTAAAAATCGCATTCCCTGTCATTATTTAAAGCGTGGGCCTCTAAACTTTTATACCGTATATCGTACATCTTATATTACAACTACTAACTGAGATATGCGAAATGGTGGGGCAGATAGATATAAATTCTGAATCTAAGTTATGGTGATTGTTTTGTATTTGAATGAATTAGATAAAATATTTAGTCTAATGAGCTTATGAAGGATTTCTATAGGGGCCGTGTAAATATTATGTAAGCATATTTAAGACAATTTGGGACTCCCCCCACCTTGTCATCAAAAATAAGCAAATCACAAACCTCTTCCTATGTTTAAGAAAGTTGCAGTAACCTCCCCCTTAGTTTTTGCTTCAACTTTGACTGTAGTGTAGTAATCAAGTTTTAGGATTAAATTCTAATAAAGATTTTTTTATATATAATTTTGTGTAGAATATACTTAAGAAACTTGTATTTTCCTTTTTTGTTCGAAACTTTTGGCCTTTGAAACTTTATGAAGAATTTTTCTCCCTGAATTCAACTATCATTCCACTACTTTAATTTTTCTATGTGTAATTATTTTTCATTTTGCTCTTTAAGAATATTTCGAAAAAAAGAGGACTTTATGTCTTACGTAAGGGTTGCTTTTACCCCTCTTCCTTTTTTGTCAATGAAAATAAATAGATCATAAATCCCCTCACTCTGTTTGGTGCTTACGTAACATTTGAACGGTTCCATAAAATATTTTTAGAGGAGGTCCCCAAGTTCGAGATTTAGTATGTCAGATAGAGATCAAACTTCGCTAAGATATGAGGCCAAAATGTGTACAAAAAATTTTAAGTTAGGTATATTATTGAGATTTAGTATCAAGAGATTTAATGCTTCTTAATTCTTCACACTTAAATTTTTACACATTTTTTTATACTTAGTAAATGAAGCGGATACTTTATTTTAATTTGAAAATGATAAGAAATTATATAACAGCCTAACAATTGTCGGGTCTTGGGTCTCTTTTGCTTCGTTCTCACTGTTGACAAATTTAGTTCCGCTGAGCTGAATCTTTTACACAAAGTAAAAGTATACAAGAGATTGCTTTATCTCCGCTTAGAACTGCTATTTTTCCATACTAAAAATAACGTTTTAGAACCATTTTTATGTTTTTTTTTTACTGTAAAGATATGCTTCGATGGAAAAAGATATTTTTTTTTACTACAACCCTTACCATAAGAGAGGATGGGGCCCCTTTGTTTTCATAATAACTATTGCCTCAGTGTACGAAGACTTTTTTATTATCTATGAACTTAAAACGTATTTCATAGATTTGAAAATTTTAATTTTCTAGTAGCCAGTGGCCGGTAGATTCTAATAATTTAATAGTCGCTTTTCTTCAAACCTATAATGAGTTGGTAATAGTGATCGATTTCGCTAGGTCCTTTTCATTTTATATCTTATTATCATCATCCGTTATTATCATTTTCATTTTTGCAAACTTATTTTTTTTGCTTGGATTAAATTTAAATTTTTAAAACAAAAATCGAAATAAAAATAATCTAGTTTTAAAGAGTTAATTAAGTAAAAAATACTATAAATATGCAACCAAATTTAGTTAAGCTTACTGACTTTTAAGAACTTTATTAAAAAATATTTGGGGAAGCAAACTACATTTAATGTATATATTGCAACTTGGAACTACATGAATTGTTAAAGAACTCTAGTGAATCCATCAGAAATCTAGTGAATTCATCGGAAATCTAGTGAATCTTTCCATCACAAATTTGTGGATTCTGAAGGATTAAAATTTTAATGAAAGTTCTAATTATAAGATATTATAATGAAAATTCTGTTTTCCAGTCTTTCTACAATTTATTTTAATCATCAAATGAATAAAAAAAATGGGTAAAAATTGTTTATTTAGGTCGTCGTTTTGTATTTTTTTTTGTGTGTGTGATAATTTTCAGATCTAATATTCTATTTGTTAACTGATTCACGAAATTTAGTGATTAAGAAACTAGTTTCGCATTCCAATCTGCAGTTTAACACTTTAAGATATCAATTTGTCACTGAGTCACTTTCCGATTACTAATGAAAGATTTTTGACTGTAATTGAAAAATTGTCAAATGTCACTTATTTCAGTTCTGATAAATTGAAGGCTGATAATAAAATTGGAAAGTGGTTATTCAATTATTACTATTAGGGTGACAGTTTTAGAGTAAAAGGTAAATTGTGATTGTGAAAATATTTCGTCAGCGGACTGTTTTTATTTTGTTTTGATTTATGACATAATGAGATCGGGAAGTTGCACATTTAACAAGGAACTCTCAATTTCCACTTGCTCTCAAAAGTTTTATTTATGTAATAACTTGAAAATATACGGATTTCGTTGTATATTAAATACATATCAGACATTTTATATTGCACTAATTGCTCATTTCATCTTTATCAGGTTTGATTATAGTTCACTTAAAAATATTTGAAAATAGAAGTTTTTCAAAGATATATATCTGGTACAGTAAATTAATCTCGATAAAAACTATATAAAAAAAAGAACAACTTATTATTATGATAAGGAAATTATTTCTCTTTTATTTTGAATAAAAAATAAAACACTAATCGTTGAACTGTAACCTAGATTTCTGATTCATAAATAAGCAAAGCAAATTAAAACATTGTTCAAGGTATGAAATCCTCTTGATTCACAACTCGATGAGTATTTCGTAAGATCCCACATTTCAAGAATTTACTCACCAAATCTCAATGCATAGTAAACTTAGTGAAAAAAAGAATTCTAAAAAAATATCGTTTTCAAATTTGTTGCGCACTGTTTGCTTTTAAATAATCGTACTTCTTATTTCGTATTTTATTTCGCATTCCATATCGGAAATTGTGCACCATGACAAATTATTAGTACATAAATGTTTTGTGAGAATTTAGTTGGATTTTTACAAGCCAAATTGAAATCACTCGTTTGATTTTTAATCAAAATACGTGAGATTTATTGTGGATATTTATTATAACGATGTGTATAATCTCTTACAACACTAATACTCTATAATTTAATATATATATTTATTGAAGAGCTTAGATAAAACATATAAAGTGACTGTTACGAATATGTACTTTTTCGAATTTCAGAAGATCATAGTTAGAATGCATAGAAACATCCGCAAATTGAATTTTTTGTTTATCATTGAGAAACACTATTTTAAAAACTTGGCATTTTTGAAAAGTAGCATAACATAATCATAACATGTTCAAAACCTAAAAATTTGTGCGTCTTTTCAATGTTCTATCACTAAGATTTACATACCTGTTATAATTTTCGAGATACGCTTGCGGATTTCGCAATTTACAACTAGGAGCGCCAAAGTATTGGACAAAATTACTCGCCACAGGCTAGTTTGAAGTATTTTTACCATGTTTTCATAATTTGAAAATCATAAACGATGAAAAAAATTGCTTATATTAATAATTTGGCAAACATTTTTCAAAATATGGCGAACATCAGAGGACTTTAAAATGAAAAACATTTTTAAGAATCAAGCATGAAATAAAGTAATTTTCAGATTATTACGTAATATTCTTAATTCCATAATTATTTCTTAAAAAAATAAAATGCACAGGAGGTGCATTCTCGACAAAAAAAAGTAGCGATCGACAGGGATTGGCAAACAATTTTTAAATTTTTAATTCGTTATATTTAGTCGCCTTGGGGCCATTAATTTTGCCCAAGACGAGAAAGATTAATGCAATTCATTTTATAGCGTGCAATTGTATTAAAACTATAATGAAAACTTTTACCATGCTTTAGTGGAATTATGATTCCGTTCTTGCGTAACTATGAGCATGTTCAACTGAAATTTCGGTGTTCAAGTTTTATCTCATTTAGTTCAACAACTACTTTAAAAGAAACTAACTTAAGTGATCTCTTTTTTTATTACAATGGTAAGTCGAAATAAATATTCACTCAAATCAGTGGCTCCATATTGGTGTTCCGAGTGTTAGAACTTTTTATACAGTTTCTTTTTTTTCTTTTAAACATTTTTTGAAACCTGCAATTACATTATATGCTCGAAAAACCGCCCGTCCTCGGCGGTTAAAAATTCCCCGCGGACAGCAAATTTCTCGAATCCAGCGTACGCGCGGACGGCCATTTTCCTGTTAATGTTCGTGATACATTTTCAATTTTTGTTATCTTACAAGAGTCTAGCGCCTCACTTCCAAAATGACCCTCTAATCTCGAAATACACATGGTGGAATTGATGCTTTCTCTGTCTGGGAGTACTGCAGCGGTTGAAAGGGGCTTTTCAGCAATGAACTTACAAAAAAAAACACATTACTTACTGGTCTTAAACAAGAAGCGTTAAACGGCATTTATGAACATCTACCTAAATGGAAAACCCCTTTCAGATTTTTGTGCAGAAACCTCTCTATATCATTGGCTTGATTGTGGAACTGGCAAACGTCATATTTGATTCATTTAAAAAACGCAGTACCATCGGATAAATTGACATGATAATTGACAGATAACTTAACCTTTGTCGTTTAAATTATTTCATCAAAGAACTAAATTATTTCATAATAGAAATACTAGGTTTTACTATTAGTAACCTAGTATTTCCATTATTACTGTATAATGTAATCCTAGCATTTGTAATCCTAGTAACTACTAATTCATTGTGCAATTTATATAAATGTTTGTAATAAATAAGAGAAAATTATATTTTTATTTATTTAGTAGCGACGGGTTAGTTTCAAAGGAGGACGGGTACATTGTTGGACAAGCCGTCCTCGGGGATGGGTAAAATTTCTGAGTTTTTTCGAGCCCTGTTATATCCAATCAATAATCTATTATTTACTTAGTGCTTCGTTTGCTTTTACGAAATTATTAAAATTGAAATGCCAATAAAAAGAAATGACAATTTTATGTAAATAAATATAATTTTTCTAATATCAATGTATTAAAAAATTACGAAAAGGATAGTAACAAATTGCATCAGTTTTACCAATCGAACTTTTCAAACCAAAATCAAATTACTAAATTCGTAAATAAACTCGTTTTCCTGATAATAGTTTTCGACGTTCATAACAGTTCTTTTTAGTTTTCATTCTTACGAAAATTATAATCCGGCTTATTTTTTTAATTCATTTTCAGATAATATGCACCAGAAACCAATTAATTGCTATACATAGCTTCAGCTCCAGGATTGCAAATTCAACTGTTGGACGTAAACCCTAGTTTAAAATAATCAATGATAAAGAGATGAAAAATTTCATTCCCCTTATTTTACATCCTATTTTATAACCAGCGTTGAACAGCCGACCCAATTCTGAGTTTGAGACTATTACTGCTCAATTATATTCCCGTGTAATTTTGAACCTGACCCAGAAGATAAGAAAACTCTTGGATCAAGCATTGGGGAGCTAGTCTTCGAGGAGGGCTTTTTGATGGAACTAGCTCTCATTTTCCAGCATAGAGAAGAAAACCACGAAAACATTCCACGGCTAGGACATCAAGGGGATTCTAACCAGTGATTTTGTTTACCACAGAAGATATTTCATGTGATCACTATGGTCGGGGTGAGCTGGAAGCAGAATTTCTAAAGAGCAGTGAGCACTGGGATTCGAACCTGGAACACCTCATTGCGATGTGAGATTGCCACCACTGCTCCATTCTTTTTATTAATTATTTTCAAAATAAAGTATTCTTTTATTCGATATGATACGTTCGCAGTTGCCCTTATGTACTTTATTTATAAAGTTAGGCTTCCGCCGAAAGAAAGTACCATAGACGAAAAACTAAATTGTGAACTTAACTAAATTTGCGATAGAAAGCAATCATACAAACATGTTAAATAATTACGATTTCCTGGCATACTTTTCCTGAGGTTGTCATCCTTTGGTGGTTTATCTCCCATTTCTTCCATGACTGCCTCAATTATAGGCACCATAAGAGCTGCAGTTGCTGTATTACTTATCCACATGGATAGAAACATGGATGTGCACATGAAACCGAACATCATCCTACAAAATTAACTGAATTATTGCAAACATTTTAATCAAAATTAATTGAAAGATTTTATGCAATTAAAAATTCAAAATCTGATAAAGGGCAGACATGTTGACAAAATATTTAGTTAAAAAAAGTTCTAAGTTAATCAAGAAATTCAGTCCAACTTCTTCTACAAAATTACTTTTTAAAATTCTTATTTAATTTTCGGCCACAAATGAAAAATGAAATATTTTTCACCAAAGATATTATTTAAAAAATAGTATGAAAAGATAAGTCATAATTGTTTTAGAATTTTAAATTGCATTCATTTTTTTTATTTCATTGCTTTTAAATAAAATTTATTTTTTAAGAAATAACTCATTTACCTTTTAACAAATAAAAAACGAAAATTAAATATCTTTATCATAAAATGTTGCATAATAAGGTAATAGCACGCAATTAAAAGAACCATATTTTTAGTTTCAAGCATTTCATTTTGCATTATAATCAAAATCTAAAACGTAATAATAGAGAATAACATTAAGAAGGGATGACAAATAAATATTATTTTTAAATACCGCCAACTAACGATAAATAAGTGACTAACAAATGTACAGGTTAATACATTAATTTTACGATGATGACAGTCAAATATATTTGTATCTTATTTATTAATAATTATACCATGTGGATTTGATGTTCAATGAGAATGTACGCAACGTTAAGACGGCAGTTATGCTTTTATGATATGTAACGACTTGCCTTTACGTANAGTTAATCATGTTGTTGTAAGTAAGTTGTAAGTTAATTCAGTCCAACTTCATCAACATTACTTTTTAAAATTCTTATTCAATTTTCGGCTACAAATAAAAAGTTAAATAGTTTTCACCATAGACAATATTCAGAAATAGTATGAAAAGATAAGTCTTAACTGTTTTAGAATTTTAAATTGCATTCATTATTTTTATTGCATAATTTTTAAATAAAATTTATTATTTAAGAAATAAATAATTTACCTTTTAACAAATAGAAAACGAAAATTAAATATCTTTATCATGAAATGTTGCATAATAAGGTAATAGCATGCAATTAAAGGAACCATATATTTAGTTTCAAGCATTTCATTTTGCATTATAATCAAAATCTAAAACGCAATAATAGAGAATAACATTAAGAAGGGATGACAAATAAATATTATTTTTAAATACCGCCAACTAACGATAAATAAGTGACTAACAAATGTACAGGTTAATACATTAATTTTACGATGATGACAGTCAAATATATTTGTATCTTATTTATTAATAATTATACCATGTGGATTTGATGTTCAATGAGAATGTACGCAACGTTAAGACGGCAGTTATGCTTTTATGATATGTAACGACTTGCCTTTACGTAAAGTTTTTATTATTTAAAATAGTGGTTTAAATCATAAATAAATATTTATAATTATTCTTTCATAACCGTCGTTGAACAGCCAACCAAATTTTATGGGTTTACAACTACTAATGTTCAACTCCGTATCCTTGTAATTTTGAACCCAATCTAGAAGACAAGGGAACTCCTGGATCGAGTACTGGGAGAAATTTGCTTTCGTGGAGATCTTTTTGATGGAACTAACCCGAATTTGCGTTACATGGAGAGGAAGACCACTAGAAACTGTCACGGTTAGCCTGACGGCAAGGGGACTCTAACCCATGATCCGTCTACCCCTGAGGATATTTCACGTCAGCACTGTGGTCGGTGCAAGCCGGATGGGGAATTCGTAACGACTGGGATTCGAACCCGGTTCGCCTCATTGGAAGGCGAACTCTCTATCCTCTGAACCATCGCTGCTATTATAATTATCATTATAATAAAAAATATTTATTTTGCTGATTTCACAACCTAGTAATATTTGTAAACAATGCGCATATATTTTAAATGAAAACTAATAGCAGTTCGCTCGCAGAATTTAAACGCATAAAAGACAAATTTGCATGAAAAAAAGTATGAAAAATGGCTTAAATATGTGACAAAGAAAGAAAACGGTCTTAAATGGATTATAGTATTTATTACTATAAATTTCCTTCAAAGTAATTAAAATAGATTTTTTGTTTATATGTATAATCCCAACAAACTGAAGTGGAAAGAAATAACTTTTTTTTCTCCAATCCCCACTGAATTGTTCACATTCGTCAATTCAGACATATTAGGTTGTATATTTGTCCACTCTTTCAGGGGCACTATATTAGGTAGGCCAACGTTGCTCCCAGAGTAAGGACAGATAGTACAAAGAATGAATGAACCTCCATGCCTTTTCTGGGATTCATACCCAGAACCTTTCTGGTGCAAAGTCAGTTCCCTGACCCCAACACAGTCCAATTGGTATTAAAAACCACTCCCATAAGTTCTTAAAGCAATGGAAGTTTTTATTATCAAGTACATTAGTTGTTTACCTACTGTAAAAATCAATTAGAAGAAAATGAATTAAAACTCTTACCACGATGCTGTTGGCCCAACCCAATTTAATACTGTCAGAGCTATTCTCTTGTGTAGGTTGCATTCTTCAATTGCGACAGCCATGAAAAGGCCTCCAACAAACATCATATTTGTACCCTAGACATTCAAATAAAAATTATTGCTTTGACAAATATTTTACATATTATAACGTATTTAATTCTCTTAAGTTAACTAACTAGATGAATACCCGTTCCTTGTACAGAGTAAAAAATAATCTATATACGTATATATTATAAAATAAAGAATTTGTGTGTGCGTTTCTGATTTCGGGAATACCGTAGACTCTATAAATAAGACATTCAACAAGTAGCCAAATGAGTACATTTATTAACAAATTACGAAGCTCATCATTCATTAAATCGCCATTCATTCAATCTTTATTCATTCAGCAATCATTAGGCTTATTTAAAAACTGGAATTTTCTCATTGATTTAGCGGAAACCATTACTTAAATTTTTTAAGTAATTGGTACTTGCAGATCAAAAAGAAATGGTGATTATGCCGAACCATGCAATTTAAATCAGATTTAATTGGATACATATAAGTGACGTCACGTGTATATGTGGAGCCTGCTTGGCTTCTAATTTAACAAGTGCCTCACTTTTTTTTTTTGCTCATCTAATCAAAATGTAAAATAATCATCTTAAAAGTTATATTTTAAGAAAAAAAATGCTGCCATTATGACCACTAACCCAAAGAATTTTCTCCGCCCGCTTATGCATTAGAATGCACCAACAATTGAATGAAATGGGATGAAATTTGCGTATTTTTTGAGATACATTTAAGAAATATATCAATAGTAAAATGCTATTTATAAATCTTTGAGTTGTATTAGGTCAAAGTATATATATATATGTATATATATATATAATAAAAATAATAAATATGAATATAACTTGAATGAGACAGATAGTATATTATATAAATTTATTGACTATCTATTTTGTCATCAACCCATTTTCGTGCCAAAGGTGTGTAAACACACAATTTTAATAAATAATTCTTTCTTAACACCGTGGCGAATATTTTTCAATACTTTTATTTTTCTGCTGTTTTTAAGGGTTCTGAAGACATCTTTAAAATATTAGTAATTCAATTGGAGTAAATACTTTCTGTAGAGAAATTTTCATTACAGGCTAGTTTTTTAACTTCAAGCCATTCTTGAAAAAGTCTAATTTTTGAAACTATAATTATTCTACTTGAGATTTATTATATATTTTTATAATGGGTTAAAGTTGTAAGTTCAGAAAATAAAATTTAAAACATTCAAATATCATTAAAAAAAATTAAAATTTTTTGATTCAAATTTAATTTTTGTTAACGCACCATTGATCGAATGCATGAGAAATAGGCAAAATTTGAATGCCCACTTTTTATGCAAGGTTTCAGAATTTTATTGAAAATTTAGAGTGATTTCTTGGAAATTTACTTAATAGATGGCATCTCTAGTTTTCTGTAACCGATTTGAAAAGATTTTTAGGTGTACTAATTCTTTCTGGATACCATACACTTCCTCATATCAATATGCACTGGTCTTTAGATGATGATAAAGGACTGCCAATAATTTCAGAAGTACATGAGTCAAATCAGATTTAAAAGCATAAAGCAAACTAGTAATTTGTTGTGTAACTCTAGTCTTAATAAAACACAAATTTGCTAAGCTACGCCCAGTTTTTATGCATATAAATCAAAAGTATCTGCAATTTGGAATATTTTCGCAACATTTGTCGAAGAGATGGTGCCTTATTTTGGAAGGCATTTGTCAAAAATGTTTATAAATTGGAAACCCGTAAGGTTTGTATTTAAATTTTGGTGTTTGTGCTTGTCTTACGGATACCTTTGCCAATTCAATCCCTATGGCTGATGCTAACATTGATCAACAAAATATGCCACTAGGAACAAGCGTTCTGAAGTAACTAGCTTTGTTTCAAAACCTGAGGTGCACGAAATTTATTTTGATAACTTTTTCTCTTCCTGTTATTTATTCTAAATTTTGAAAGAAAAGGTTTTCTTTGCATCTGGCAGCAAAATATGAAGAAAAAAACATGGTTCATACAATTTTGCAATCAACAAGGATGCAAAAACATATACAATAAAATGGAACGATAATGTTGTCTGTGGTAACGATTGCTACTAATAATGGTACCATTTCGCTCCTTATAAATGCTCAACGATACATCCGCAAAGAAGTGATTTCACAACCCAATGTTATTTCGGATTATAATAAGTATATAGAAGGTGTAGATCTACATGACGATGCCATAGCTAATTACCGCATCAAGATCCAAGGTAATAAATAGTGGTGGCCATNTGATATATATCACCACATAACCACATCTTTCTTCCTGAAAATCAAATCATGAAAAGAAACGTAATTGATACATATAACCACATCCTGCTTCCTAAATATCAAATCAGAAAAAGAATAAACATAGTTGATATATATCACCACATAACCACATCTTTCTTCCTGAAAATCAAATCATGAAAAGAAACATAATTGATACATATAATCACATCTTGCTTCCTAAAAACCAAATCCTGAAAAGAACCGTAATTGATACATATAACCACATCTTGCTTCCTAAAAATAAAATCAGAAAAAGAATAAACATAGTTGATATATATCACCACATAACCACATCTTTCTTTCTGAAAATCAAATCATGAAAAGAAACATAATTGATGCATATAATCACATCTTGCTTCCTAAAAATCAAATCATGAAAAGAAACATAATAGATACATTTAACCACATCTTGCTTCCTAAAAATCAAATCATGAAAAGAAACGTAATTGATACATATAACCACATCTTGCTTCCTAAAAATCAAATCATGAAAAGAATTAACAAAGATGCTATATATCACCACATAACCACATCTTTCTTTCTGAAAATTAAATCATGGAAAGAAACATAATTAATATGTATAACCACATCCTAAAATCAAATCATATAGCGAAACATAATTCATATATATCACCACATAACCGCATCTTGCGTCCTAAAAAATCAAATCGTAAAAAGAATTAACATAGTTTATATATCCAGGGGTTTCCAACTTACAAGAGACCGGGGGCCGCAATTAAAAACACCAGTCAAATGGCGGTCCGCAACTTAGTCAACATTTTATAGAGGACTCTTTTATGTTTGAAGGAACACTAAGTATTACTATTTCAATTTTTGTTACTTCATAACTGCAAAAGATAATTCTTTTGGAAAAACAAGCAAACGAAGAAAAAAAAAAAAAACGTATTTGTAATATTACTATACCATCCTATATTTGTAAAAACATTCATTATTTTTATTGTTTTTAGCTTTGATGAATTTAAATCAATTAAAACATAAATATTGTCTGAAATGCTGAAGTGGACATTTACCTATCTCCCCACCCTAACGACGACATAATATTAAGTAAACATTTGCAAGGAATAAATAAATTCCGAGCGAGCAAGTGTGCATACGAAATTTGTCGCCAAACTCATACAAACACCAGCCAACAGCCACCATCTCCCTTCCCCCAAACAGTGACGTCATTTTCGACCAATAGCGTGATCCGGCCCAAGTGAGAATTAATCGCTCGTAAATTTTCTAAACGAATTCTCATTTTAGCCGGGCGGTTTTGCTCATTTCAGCATCACGCACTAACTTACAGATAAGAGAAAGGTGCTAACAGTGAGGTGACAAAATCCTTATCTACCTTCCCAAAATTTCGCTGCTCTGGATGCATTTGAAAGCGATCTATTCCAGTAATCGCTAATAGCTTGTCGGCTTTCCTGTCGCATAAGTAGTAAATAAGGTATCATAACGATTATTTTATATGAATCAAGTACTTTCTGTTCATACAGAAACAAGTAGTTTCTTATTAAGGGCAGAAAAAACATTCAAACTTGTTACACGGTGAGATTTGTAGAAAATGTTTGGGAAAATAAGTCTCGATCTTTATTATTTTATTTTGGGATAATAAAAGAAACAAGTTAGTTACTAGATTGATTTTTAAATACACTAACTAACACTCTTGCTTACTAAGTTTGCAAAAGGTTTTTCTTACGTAATAATTTATGAACTTAATCACATTGCCTGTTTGTCCAAGGACACTCAAAGCAGTTATATAAATAGCATATAGTTCGCTAAAAAGGCTTATTTCATGAGACGACAGAGCCTTCAAAAAATAATCTTAATACAAGGCGACTCAAAGAAGTATGCAGTTTCAATTCACTATGAACCAAGAACAATGTTAAGATATTATTATATGTTACCTACAACAGAATCGCAAGTTTTGTTCGAGACAGTCACAGGTGTTCCATGTGTAACCCCTTCCTCACGACACGCATCGAACCGATAATCCATTTCTGCCGAAACGCGTATTAAAGTATCTGAATCAAGTCCATCGATAGTTATCAATTCCGCTTCATTTTTATCGATCAAGTAACATTCCACGACAGTGGAAAGGTAAACAAGCAAACTGTTGATTTGGAGAACAGGAAGTCTCAAATTCGAAGAGCAGTACATGCGAAATTCCTTTCTGGTGATTGTGTTTTGTTATTCAGTGCAGTGTCCACAGCGAATGCTTTCAGCTCATTTTTTTTTCAAGAGCAAACTGCCACGGCAACCACTTTGATTGATGCCACAGTTGCAGTAAGACGAAATTGAAAAGTTCTTTCTCCAATTAAATGGTGCACCAAAAACACAGGTCGACCTACGTTCAAAATTAGCTTGATGAAATCTCCGTTCCCGATTTGATTGGACGAGCAATGGATTACAACATGCCACTTACCCAAAGGCCACCCAGAAGTCTTGACCAAACGCCTTTTTATTTTATATCCGTCGTTGAACAGCAGACCCAATTTTGAATTTATGACTACTAACGTTCAGCTCAGTAGTCTCGTAATTTTGCACCAATCCAGGAGACACTCTTGGACATGGGCCCAGTGCCCTACCAACCAGGCTATCCCACGTAATTACTTTTCTACAGGAGTGCGTAGGGAGTAAATGGGGGAGGTAAAAAACGTATTGTTTGTCTAGCGAAGGAACTCCCTTCCTCACAAAATTTAAGGCCGTTTGCTGCTATGGAAGCAAAAAAGCATATTTCAAA